TATGACAAGGTGTTCTGGTTTTTGTTTTCCAGAGAATACAAGTCCCAGTTTGAAGCCAAAAAGATCTGGTATGAGCACAGGCTCATTGATGACATGGTTGCTCAGGCCCTGAAATCTGAAGGAGGCTTTGTCTGGGCCTGCAAGAACTACGATGGGGACGTGCAGTCTGACTCTGTTGCACAAGGTATGAGATGTTCCCTGTTGTATACCGATTGCTACTGCTAGGCTCAGTAGCAGTCTCTTGTGACCACATATCATATCTGATGTAATGGCCCAGGAGGGTTCAGAACATACATTTTTAAACCTGTGGCCAGTCATGGAGATATCAGGCAGGCAAAGAATTTCTGATTTCACTTTTTCAATAAATCCATTGAATGTAAACTGTGTAGTTCTTTAACAGATGGCAGCTCCTACCAGTGTCATAGCTGATATCTTCCATGAAAATGGAAAGCCTATGTAGACAGTTTAAGTTGACTAGTGGTGAGCATACTGGCAGGTGCCCTGTAGCTAAGTAAGGAAACCTCCAGGACCTAAAGCTACCTATCAGATGCAAAGAGAGAGATTGATACGGGTAACTTTACAGACTTGTAGTGCTTGATCAAAATCCTAACCACGCTGCATGGTGCCGAAACAAATATGGATTCAGGACAAGAAGTATGACTTTATGTAATGTGCTCTTTCTAAATCAGTGCCTCCCACAGAACAAGGATGTGTGTTGGACTGCTGAACAAAGAAGCTTTCAAAGACATAGATCTCTGAAACATACAGGGTTAGAATTTATATGAAGGTCCAGTTTTTCCAGCTTATGGTTCCTTTCACTAGAGCAGAAGCTCTGGATATGAAGTAGGTTTGTTCCCTATCATTCTATGTGCAAGATATTGATTTGCAGCCCAACACTAGTTATTTAGGATTTTTTTGTTCTCGTACATCTTTACAGTAAAAATATGTCCAGCAAGTTAGGTGAGAATACTAACTTTCTTGAAATAGTGCAAAATGTCTGTATTTCATGGTTCAGCAGCACTTTCTGTTCCAACGAGATGCTATTTTGACGTCAGGACTAGCCAGTTAGTTGCAGCAGCAGCATCACTGTTTTTTTGGGAATACTCGCATCAAGGTTGGGAGGATGTAAAAAGATTATCGGATGGGAGAATTAAGGGAGATTTAAGGGGGCTATCCAAAGGAGACACTGAACTTTTTAAACTTGTATTCTGTAGGCTATGGCTCTCTGGGGATGATGACCAGTGTGCTGATCTGCCCTGATGGCAAGACTGTTGAAGCAGAAGCTGCTCATGGCACGGTTACTCGTCACTACCGCATGCACCAGAAAGGCCAGGAAACCTCCACTAACCCTATTGGTGAGCTGCTTTTCACTGCCCCTCAGCAATCTCCACACCTGAAAGAACAGGTCTGGAGCATGCGCATCTGTATCTTTTCTGCAGAGAATTGCACCACTGAGTGGTGAAACTGGTAGTTCATAACGCGCTTCTCTTCCATGAAGACATCTGCAGCCTGGAGCAAAACCAGGCTGGAATGGAGTGTGAGCAATAAGCTACACCTAACCTAGCCTTTGAGACATACTCTCACTTTTCAGCAAATGATGGGTTTGTAGCCACAACAGCCTTAAGGTTTAGGTTGGTCATTTTTTATTTTACTCCCCTTTCTGATTCTTCAAAAGACCCAGCCACCTCCAAAACCATGTATATATTTGAAGTGTAAGTGCACCTCAAATGGGACATGAGGAAAAGAATCTTGTACAATTGCACAGGGACCAGAGTGTAATTGTAGTACCAGGAAGAACACTACACCCTCCTTTCATATGGGCAACTTTATGTGTAACTGGAGTCCTACCACCAGTCATTCTTTCTGATTTGGGCAGGAACAAAATAAGGTAAAATGGCACACACACACACACACACACAGATTGCTGAGGCAGTATGTAGGTTTGGGGGTTTCCTTTATTGCTGCACAATACAAAGGATGCCTGGAGGAAGGTAAGTGTTCTTCTTCCCATACCAGATCTTATATCAGTTTTCAGTTTTATTATTAAAAAATTACTACCATTCTACATGACAACTTAGAACAATGTCCAGGGAGTTCTAGACAGACAAAGTAATCTATTGTGTTCTCTCCCAGCCTCCATCTTTGCATGGACAAGAGGACTCGCTCACAGGGCTAAGCTGGACAACAACACTAGCCTCAAGAACTTTGCAGTTGCCTTGGAAGAAGTCTGCATTGAGACCATTGAATCTGGCTTCATGACAAAGGACCTTGCTGCCTGTATCAAAGGTCTCCCTAAGTAAGTGTATGAAGTAATCGGCTGTGCATAGAGGATGTTTTACTTAGTGTTTCTGAACAGCATTTACTGGAACATTATTTTAATATGGTGAAGAATTGCTGAAGTCTGGCACAGAACAGGGCTTGTCTGTGACCAGTGCTGTACAAACAGAAAACGAGACACTCCCTGCCCCAAGCAGCTCAGTGTTGGTTGCTCTGTCCTTGCTATTGTACCAAATGCATGGGGGGAAGAGGAAATAAAGGAACTGTGAAGACTTCTCTTATGACAGGATGGTTATATTTGCCAGATCCTGCCCTGTCTATTTATTAGGATGGAGACCTCCTTAACTGTAAAATACCACCTGGCTACCTCTCTCTGGAGCCTTCTGGGGGACAACCCCACCAACAACCATCCATCAGCCTGTTGAGTAGAGCTCTTGTTTTTAGAGGCAAGACTTGTGCTTGGAGCATTTGAGTGGCTTTACAACTAATGTCTGTCTGGTTTTGTTTTGTTTCTCCCCCTCAGTGTCACACGCTCTGATTACCTGAACACCTTTGAGTTCATGGACAAGCTTGCTGAAAACCTGAAGGGAAAGCTGGCCTCTCTGCCTAAACTTTAAGGCACAGGTTCTATTCAAGCTCTTCTAACAAAGCATCTCCCATTTATACCAGAGTGTAAGTAAGTGGCAGTGTATCACACTCTGTTCTGTAACATTTCAAATACTAGATGAAAAAAAATGTACAATTTTTTAAATGTTTAAAAGCTCATGTTTTCTTAAACCCCTTGAGGAGCTGCTGGGCTAGGCCTTACTTTTGCTAAGCAGCTAAATGTGATAGTATTCAAGCTCAGTGTGGGTCTGGATTCCTAGTGTCATTTATAGCAGACCTGAGGTTTCTCTCCGTGACGTTACTGATCTGTGTTTCTTTTCCCTCGTCTCTCAGACTGAAAGCCAGTCTGTGTCACAGCTCTGGTCAAACCAGTGGTGGCTTACTGTCCAACAGACCTCAGAAATCAGAACTATCCTGATCTCTCCAGTCCTGTCTGCTGAGTATGAAGTGAGTTCACAGGGCTCTGCAAGGCCTACTGCAGCCCCTCTTTTAGTTATTTTTTTGTGCCAATCAGAACATTGTATCCTGATACTAAGGGATTTCATCCTATTGCTACAGCCAGGACTGTAACATTTGAGAAAGAAGCACTTAAACATGCTGGAAAAGAGCCCTGTAGGCTAAAGGCCTAATAACTCCATGCTGCAGTGTCTAAATGCAGGCCATGCATTTAGTTATACTCCAACTGACTGGACGTGAAGCATAGGAATTTTTACCCCTTCCCCCACCCCACAACTCATAAAGGTGCAAAACTTTTCTCCAGCTACTACTTGTCCTTTCTGTTGTGATACAGCATGTCAGATTATGACTGTGAAAAACTATTCCATCCATGGTTTTATTTGGGGTTTGTTTTGTTTTGGGGTTTTTTTTAAGATTATTTTAGTTGAGACTAAAATAAAAGCCAGCTAACACTCTGTGTCTCTTCTTCCTTTGTGCAATTAGCAGATACGGGAAAATTCTGCCTCAGAGATTCCAGTACCTTTCAGCACAGTTCAGCACATGCTGGGACAGAGGGTTGGGATGCAATATCAATACAAAATCATTTTTCCCTTCTTAGAGTAGCAGCTGTCACTGTGCCTTCAGTATGAATGAGCACAGTACTTTGCTGTTCTGTTCTTAACAAAAGAGTATAAGAAGCGCAGGTGAAAAAAGTCCCATTGCTGACTCATAACAGCAATGGAAACAAGCAGCAGGAATAGGTGGAGATCTATGTTTCCATGTCTGGCTTCTGACAGCAGTAGTTCAAAGGTCTGAGCTATTACTTTTTGTGCCATACTCAGACAGGTCATACTAGAACAAATTCTGTCATACTGACAAATTCTGTTATTTACCAAAAGTAAATCTATTTACCAGGAATACTAGAGAAAGCTTAGTACATTTCAGTAATTAACAAAGGAGGGCATTTTTACATTTATACTTCTTGTTTGTTTTAATGACTTAACAAGACAGCTGAAGTGTAAACAATGTAGTAGCATTTACCTGACTGCAGATGCCACTATTCTCCTTCTGTACTAACAAAGTTTCCATTTTCTGGAGGACTCTACCTACAGTGCACAGCAAGACCCAATTTATCCTGATGGATGTTTCTGAAGTGCTGAGGAAAGGAACACTTGTCTCTATACTGGGAGAAGTAGTTAGTCATAAGAACAGAGCACCCCTCTCTCTGCTCTTCCATGGAAAAAGAAGGAACACCTTTCCTGCTTCCAAGGAGGCACGTTCCCTTTCTCTTTACTACTAATACAGGGCTGTCCAGGGCTTCAGTAGTCAACCCTAAACCTGACTTTCTAGTGGACTGCTCTACCTGGAACCTAGGCCATCCAAGCCTGGGCTGCTGCAACCCTTTCATACCCTTTAAGAAGCCCTTGTAGGTACCCACAGTGCTGGAAGATCAGCCCTTCAAGATGTACTTGCCACAGGCTTGTGCAGAGCATGGTAGCTGGCTGTGGTGGCACAAGCACTTGCACACAAAGACTTTGCTGACAAGCATCCAAGCATTTAAAGGTGGAGGATGGGGAATAAACATCACAAAGTTTTTATACTACCCAGATAAGACAGGACACTTTATTTATACTTTATTAGTAGTATTAATTAGAATAAAAAACAATATACAATAGCAAAGACATGCAGCACACCTAGGAGCTTGGGGGCTGCCTGTCCAACCAAAACTTTTACTTCTGGCTCCATGTATCCTCCCATTGTTATTAGCTTGGCTGCCTTGGCATTCCTTCAAGAAACTATTCTTTTTCTTTTTTGATCTTCTTGATAATTTCCTTAGCTTTTCCAGTTCTTTTCTTTTTGGTTTTGCTGGGAAGGTTGTTGAGGAACTCTGTGTTTGTAAAGGGGTCACCCTGCCTCAGTTTGCTGCAGAACCAAAAGAGTTAGAATGAACCATCACCATATTTCTTGAACAAGTGTATGATTTTGGTCTCTAAAGCTCCCAATTTTAACAAAATGCTTCCACTACAAGATGACTGAGCAGTACAGTTTGTTCACTGTCATGTACAGGAACAGTTGTACCAGTATAGAGTATCTTCTCACCCAGTATAACCAGCTCCTCATAGCAAGTTCAAACTGTGCCGCTTTTCAGTGAAAAAACATGGTGTTACCCAATATTTGCATTGTTGCATCAATGCAATTTAACATCAGCATTTTAGGAGTTAAATGATTCTGTACAGTAGCCATTGGATGTACTGAATCCACAGTTTCTTAAGGAAGAGATGTAGCTGCTTGTTTAGGTACTTGTATCTGCCAGAAAAAGCAGAGATACAGCCTGCTCACAGGGGAAAACCCTCCTCAAAGCCTAGCATTTCCTTCACTGAAAAGCAATCCAAACATTAAAATATAAATATTACTTAGTTGTATAAAACATTAGATATCATAGAATAGCAAGTGAAACAGGGCTTTTGTTTAGCTGTCTTTATTTAGGCTTTATTTATTTTGTCTTTATTTATTTTATCCTCATGCTTACCCCTCATTACTACTGGAATATCACAGATGCAGTATGCCAAAACACATGCTTATTTCAGTGAAGGAAACAGCATCTTTGATAGCTTGATACCAGAAGCCTGCACATGCATGTGTGCTAGTGTTGAATTTTGGCTTAACCACACTGTGCTAGAAGAGGAGGATCACAGAAAATGAAGGGAAGAAGAACCTAAAGAGATAGATGGTCCAGCCCTAGACAGCAAGCACATGACAGCAGAGCAGGCGTTGTAGTATGGGAACAGTCATGGGAAGGAATACTTTAAAGCCCAACCTGTTCAGTTTTGGCTCTTTGTAGCAGCCTGGTTCCCATTTCCGCTTGGATAAGCGCCCTGTCGCTCCTTCCGAGCTAGAGGAAGACAAAGCGCTGGCATTGGTCAAGTCCTGCAGTGGCCTGGTCACTGCAAGGGAAGACATTCACACAGGTGTGGATCAAAATGTTTCCAAATAATCTCCAGATATCCTAAGACATACAGCTGTCACACAGAGAAGTGGTGCATTACAACACTTCTCTGAACACTATGCAATCCTGAATCTGGTCATGTTCCCTCTAAACCCGGGAGACCATTTTTGTCTAGAAATCCCAGACCTGCTCCTCAAAAGTCAGATTAGGTTCCTCACTGTAAAAATACAGGTCACTAATACTGTTAGTGTCATTGTGTCCTGGCATAGTCTTAAAAATATACAGAAATGATAGTTCTAATGCACAGAAGTTTACAACCTGGAGGAGAAAGCAAGCTTATGGCACCCAAACAGTGAGACTTCCATCAAGACACAGGGCCATACCAGTGTTTCCTGCAACTTTCAAAGTGAAGTTTGCAAAAGGGGAGGGCAGGAGAATAAACTTCCTCCCTCACTACAAAGTGCAGCTCACTCTAGCTATAGCTAGGCCTGTTTGTCAACAGTTACATGAAGGAAAAACCCCACAGAGCAACTCTATACAGAGTACCCAATAACAGCAATCTCCCAGAAAGGCTCAGCTTAACTGCTGTATTACCAGCCAAGGGGGACACCTTCCAAATCCTTTCTTTTTAAATAAAGGAGCACCAAGCCACACAACACAAAACCAAAACAACAAGGGAAAAACAAAAAAACAATCTCCAAACCAACACACAAAAAAAAAAACCCAACACCAAGAGAATTTAGGTAACTTCTGATAATGAATTTCTATTTAAAAATACCACCCAGAGGTATACAGACTGAAACTTTGCAGCACTAACCATTCTGGATGGAAAACCTGCCATATTCATCATGTTCCGTGCCACAGTAACACAGTCAGGCAGGGACAGTTATCAAATTATACTTTTCAACTGCTTGAGTAACTGATTTTCTAACTTGACAGGCATGCCCTGTAAATAACAAGAGCGGTGAAACAACTTGCAGCATGTGCTCCTAGTTTTTTCCCCAATATCCACACATGAATAAATGACCAGAAATTCTTATGGGAATGCTGATAAACTAAAGGCAAATGCAGCCACAGAAATGACTCATCAGCACAAGTGGGAATATATTGGTCATGGATCCTTAACTCTCAAAAAAGTGGAGGGGAAGAAAAATACAAGCACTTGCTGCATGGATTTTTGGCACTCATCTCAAACACAGGTCCCCTCCCAAGCCTGATACCTACCAAGTTCTTGTGAAGGTGAGTTCTGAGAACTTGGCTTCACCTGGCTTTTTTCCTCAGGTATTTCCTCTGCAGTCTTTTCTTTAGGTATCGGGAAGCTTTCCAGCCAAACAGGGGATTTCTCTGGCATTCTGTTGCCCTCAGTACTTAAGCTCGTGGAAACTGGTGCATCTGTAAGCCAGGAGCTGACAGACAAAGCTGCAGAATAGGTCACATGGGACGATTTAAGACTCTGTGAAAGGTCTGTATTTGCCACCTGCTCCTCCAGATAGATATCTGGATCAGGCAGATCTGCAATGCAGGAAATCATCCCTGTCAGGACAGTTTGCTTGGATGCAAGTTCTGCTGAACTTCCAATGAGCCCTTGGGCACCATCACTTTGTCTGGCCAGGGAATCACCCTCTGGAGATCTAGAGGTGGTGTTCTCCTTCTGAAGCTTTGGTCTGGGACAGGACTCTTTTTCTGAAGTGTTCATGTTGTTGTCAACTTTAGCCTGCCCCTTTTCTTGAAGGCCCTTTGTCTTCTTCTGAGCAGCTACCATCCTCTGAGCTCTGGGGATTTTGCTAGCTTTGCTCCCAGGAACAGACCTGGGAGGTACAATGTCACTGTCTTCAAAATTTGTCTGGACACAACCCAAGTTTTCTGCAAGATCCAAAGGACTGACAATGTAAGTTTTCCTGCTACATTTAAGATTACCTTGTAAATCCTTTTCGCTCTCCTCAGTTACTCCTTGAACATCTATACACAGGCCAAAAACATCAACTTCATTTCTCTGATCATGACAACTGCCTTTCCTGACAGTCTTCCTCCTGCTTGTCTGGCTTCTTTTAGGCTGTTCTTCAGCTTTGGCCCCTGCTGTTTTCACACAGTTTGGCAGATTCTCTTCCTCAGAGTCACCTCTTTGCCTAATAATTCTAGTTTTTCGGTTGGTTTTCTGTCTGATGCTCTTTGTGCTCACACTTGAATCCTCTTGCAAAGCACAGGTCCTTGAGGTCTCCTTCCTCAAGAAAAGTGAATTTTGTAGACTGGAATCATCTGGGAGAACTTCAAGACTTGAGAAGGTACAAACTGGGCTTCCTGGCAAGCTCTCCATATGCTGGATTTCAAAGGTAGTGTCCTTAACCTGTTTGAGTAAGTCACTACTTTCAGGACTGTGCAGCTGTGCTGGATTCACCACATATGTTCTTCTGGAAGGGAAGCCTTCAGCAGGAAAACAGGAATGTTGCTCTGTACCACAGCCTGTGTTGTTCCTGCCAAAAGCCTCCATGCAACCCTTTTGCCTCATCTCAGAAACTTCAGACTCACTAGGACATGTTGCAACTTCTGGCTGAAGAAGCTTCTTAGTATTTTGAGTACTCCCTTCGCCTTGAGGTCTATCAGGACTACTTTCTCCATTCTTTTTAATTACATTTGTTTTCTTTTTTCCCATACTTGCTTTGTTTCCAGGTTTTTTCTCACCAGTTTTACAATTACCTTTGCTTTTTGCCTTCACAGGAACAAACTCAAGGACTCTGCTATATGTGGGGTCCATTTCAACACCACACCCAGTTTCTTTATCCTGTGGCTGATCACAAAAAATCTCTTTGCCCGAAGACTTTCTATCAGGAGTAACAGTGGTTTGAGCAGGTGAAACCACAGAGCTGAGAGATTTCAGCTGTGGCTGTGTGTCACTCTTCCTGGAGCTGCTGCTGTCCTTTGTGATACAGCATTCAGTTGCCTGAGTGGAACTGACAGGTGAGAAGACATCCACACCAGAAGATGGAGTGCTGCTTGCAATCAGGCTGTGATTCTTCCTTCTCTGAGTAACGTATCCTTGTGAGAGACGATCCAACAAATGTTTTGCTATCTCATCGCCCTCATGTGAAAGAGAATGACTTTCCAAGGGAAGTGCTGGCAAACTGTTGGGATTTTTTTTGGTGGTGCAAAAGGCCTCTGTTGGAAAGACAAAATTCATTGCTAAAACTAAGTAATGCAGCAGGCAAATACCATCTTTCCCATACCACTAAATGCCATGCCCCATACCTTGCCACAAACCCAGAGCATAGAAAAAGCATGATTTTGTGTCTACAGGGACTTCCCAAACTTACTGTGTAACAGAATTGCTCAGCTGGCTCCCCTCAGAACAGAAAGGCAGCTGTAAGCAAGACCCCTGAACCAGCCCTAATATTTAGGAATGCTTGTCATCTGTACAACAGTTATTTATATGGCAAATCCACAAGGAACAGAAGATGTGCATCTAGTTAGACTGTACCTTCAGAGATTTCTGAAAATCTTTGTAAGCTCAGTGCCTATTACTCAGAAATAGGCCTGAAGGTCTTTTCCAACCTGGCTGATGCTATGCTATGAGCAATCTCGAGCAACTGCAAATATGGCAAAATATCCCCACCAAGCAAGACATCCTATTCTGGGATACATGTAATTATAGTGATAGCACCATCACTGAAGTATGTCGTTCATAACAGTCATTAGGAGCTGCTGGAGTGATAGTTAGGAGTTAACTGGAGCTATGGCACCATGTTCATTTCTAAACACAAACACACAAAGTCATATCAGAAGAACAGCAGAAGATGAAGGTTTACCTCCAAAGATGCAAGAGCCAAGAAAAACCTCTTGTGCTTCCATTGCTTTAGTGATCTTCTCATTCTTTTCCTGGGGGAACTGAGGCTTCTCAGCAGCCTGTGGTGGCAAAGTGTTTTTGGAGGCAATAGGCACAACTTCCAGGGGCTCATTAGAAGCATGACTCAGAAAATCTAGTGAGCATGTCTGTGCTGCTGTGGAAGTGCAACCATCACACGGCTTGGAAATGGGCACCCTCATTGGCATCCCTGTAGCCCTGATAAGAAGGAAGAACAGTAAACAGAGATGTTCCATACCCATGACGCCCCAGAATCCAGCAGCATAGCTACAGCTTTCAAGAGTTACTGAAATACATTTCTGAAAGCTTCAAGTGCCGCAGAACACGCACTGCCCAGCCAGGACAGATTTCCCATTTTTGTGTACACACAGCTCATAAGGAAGGCACACTGCTGCAGACCCAGAAGCAGGAGAAAAGTACACTGAGGCAACAAGGAAGGCCTTTCAGTGCACAGGTTGCAACCACAGGTTCAGCTCACTGCGGGACATCAACAAGGCTGCTTGGAGATATGTGTATGTGGGCAGCTCCAAGGGCTCCCCGGTGTTCAGAAGGGGGACAAGACAGAGGAGCAATGGAATTTCAAATATATTTTAAGACATCCTGCTCTGACATCCTTTCCAAAACACAAGTTTATATCATACAAGCAGAAGACTATTAATCTTTTGTATGTAACAAAGACCAAAGCAGCCAGCTATGGCACTCACTCGAGGAGATCTTGCAGTGCTCACCAGCTACAAAGGAAAAACCATCTAAGGCAATGTGCTTTCAAAAAAAGGAGTGAAAAAGGACCAGTTTATGCCCAGACCTGGCATTAGGACAAATAAGACAAGGAGTGACAACAGAAAGGCACAAAGTAAGGGAAAAGATCAAGCAATGGTGGTAGAGAAGACCTCTCATGTAAAACAGACAACTGGGCACGTAAAACACACAACTGGGCACGTAAAACACAACGGGAAGTTTAGCATTTTGAAATTCAAGACAAATTTGGTGATATCATTTTAAGGCCCACCTCACAAGATGAACATCTGCAATATCATTGGCCCAGCTATCTTCAGTTATGCTGCTCTTCTGGCCATTCCACAAGGGTGCAGAACTTGTGTGGAACTGAAAAATGAGAAACAGAAAAATGGTTTAAAGCTCTTGCAATTCCCCATGCAAGCTCTACCACAGAGCCAGCAGGAGCTCAGTTTCACCCTGGAATGTATGTCAAATATTGCTGGTGACCCTCTCCCATCTAAAATGGCACAAATTACAGAATAAATTGCAGCAGAGTCAGATTCTGTCTCTGCAGGCTTAAGGATGAAGTTAAACTAGTTCAGATAATCCAAGACTAGGAAGCAGGAATATGTTCCCTCCCACCCACCCATGAGACAGGACATATGGAAAGTGTCCTATTCCCTATCCTGAGTTGCCATGGCAACACTTAAAAAATAAAACAGAAGTCACAATCTGTCATAGCAGAAGAGCCTACTAGCCAAATACAGCCAATGACCTCAAGGAAGGCAACTTGGGATAGGAATGTGCTGTAGTCTTTCCTACAAAAGTTACTCTGGAAATCATTAACACCAAGCTAAAAGCAAGGATGTAACCAGCACAATTCAAGCAAGCAAAAAAAACAGCTGAAGCATCAAACACTGAAGTAAGCAGGCAAGATAAAGCAAAAGCCAGAGACAAACCCAGATCCCTTCCCAGAGCAGAGTGCTCACATGTCCCATGGTTTACCTCGGATAGCTGGGCTGTCTTAACTGCAGCCATAATGTTTTCAAGTTCTTTCATGGCATTATCCTATGTTGAGGTAATAAAGAGTGAAAAAAAAAAACATAAAGACATTAAATCAAAAAATCTATTACAACAAGGATGCTGGCAACCAGAGCAAGCCATGTTCTGGAGAGAGAACACAGCTTAGAAGAAAAAGTAAGCAAATAAATGGTGACATTTTTCATATGCAGAGCATGAACAACCAGTGACAGCTCACTCCTCCCAAGGTTGAGATGACAGTACTGTATACTTTGCCTACCACCCCTCCCAATGCCAGCCACACTGTTAGTGCCATACCATGAAGGAGAGCTTGTGCCGCAGCACTGCATTCTGGAAGTGGCACTCCTCTACCTCCTTCTGTAAGATGGTCTTCTCCTGGGTGAGCTGTTGTACATTGGCTTTCATCCCATTGAGGGCTAGGGCCAGTGCTTTATTGTTGTGCTTTAAGGAGACTTTAATAGTGGAGGAGTTGTCTGTGAGAGACAGAGAAGTATCACACAAAATCAGCATCCAAGGTCTCATCCCTGCCTCATCTGTTACCATACTTCTTCCTCTTCCCAGAAGAGCTTGTCAGGCTCAGATCCCTACAATTCAACTGCACATGGAAGTCAGCAATATAATTCCTTCCAGCAACAGAAGTCCCCAGATAACAGCAGGAAAAGCTTAATAATAACCTGCAACACTTCAGACAGGCACTCCATTTTGAGTGGGCCATGCTCAGCAAGCTACTGCTTCAATTCTTAATAAAAGACTGTGTGGTTCATGTGCTTTTGACTTTGAACAAGTCCCTGTAGTTCTGAGTCCTCATCTCCATCAAAAAAGAGGGATAAAATAAACCCACTTTCCTTCACAGTAGCCCTTAAGCAGGTTTAGATCCATGCTTCTTAATTTCAAAATAAGTAACAGAAATGCCTAGCTTCTTCGAGGTAGTCCAAATTATCTCCTTCACTGTCATTGCATCGTTTCCCCCTAAAACTAAATCAAAGTTGGGCTGGGCTCTATACAGGATTGCAGATATTCTAAAATACCTTCCACACTTCTTATTTTTGCTGTTTGGATCCTGAGAACTGTTACCCAAGCACAGCTGCCCAGTGCCATCTGAGATGCTGCTGAGCAGCCTGTAATGGCCCCAGCAGCTGCTCCGAAGATTTTGTGTTAAACATACCAGTCAGAAATATTTCAGACACCTTTGGGCACTTCAAGTAGTACCTGACACTCATTTGTAGGGTACCCAATTCACTAGAAACCCACAGGCAGAGAAGCAGCTGTTAAACTCTGGATAAAAGCCACAGCCAAAGACATAGTTATAAGCTGACATAGCTGCCAGCAAGGTAAAATACACTCACTAATGATTTTGGTTTTGATTTTTGATGCAATAGAGGCGTTCAACTTAGCCGTCTTCAAGGCACCCTTTTTCTTCTCCCGCATGCGCCCTCTTACACCACTCAGGCTGAAGAACGTTTCGGAAGCCTCCCGCGATGCCATAGCTGCAGAGAGCGACACCGAGCAAGGTTAGCACCCGCATTCTCCTCTTCAGCAAGCACTTACCGGCCGCGACTCACACTGTCCCCGAGAAGCACCTACGGCCTCGCCCCTCGTTCCGCTGCAGGGCGGACCAAGGCCAAAGCCACACGGCACCGTGCCGCACCTCGCCCCAAACCAGCCGTTCCCGGGCACGGCAGCCGCTCCCGGGCACGGCAGCCGCTCCCTTCGCCCAGAGGCCCCTCAGCACCGGCTGGGAGCGAAACGGGACGAGCGGACTCCCCGACTCACCTGCGGGCTGCCGCGGCGAGCCCCGCCGGGCGGCGGGCGGCTGCCCCTCTCGCAGCCGGAGCAGCGGAAAGAGGGAAGAAACCGATCTGCCCGCCAGGCGACTTTTGAATGCAACCGCTATGGCCGGCGGCCCGCCCCGCGCTTCGCCCCGCCCTGCGGCATGGCGGCGAGGTGGTTGGTGTTTGTGTGTGCCGGCTGTCCCGCCGGGGAAGGGAGGGATGGGATCTGCTGTGCACACGCTCTCCGTCCCTAGAGTCGGTTGCGGCGGAGCGGGGAAAGATGCTAAACCCCCTCCCTCGGGGCGCGGGCTGGCCGGCGTGTGCAGAGAGCCCGTGAAGCTCGCGCTTCCGGGTAAGGCCCTGCCGCCATTTTGGGCCGGGCCGCGGCCGCCGATGGGGGAGCGCTCCGCCCTGACAGAGAGGGCTGTGAAATGCCGCCTGCGCTGCCTACGCCCAGCTCCGGGCTGGCTGAAAGCGCCTGACTTCGATGCCGCACTCGTGAGGCGCTGCTGCTGCCGCCGCCTTAGCCCAAGCGCGCAGAGCTGAAACTCCTCTGAAAAGCCCTAGAGTTGTTGAGATGGACAAATCTCACTCAAAAGTTAGAGTTTGTTCGCCCGCAGAATTCAGCTGGCTTGCAGCTTTCACCTGTGGGAAGGTGGTATTTTACAGTCTATTAAAAGGATTATTTTTTCTTAAGTAATTTACCTTTCAGCCCAAGTTAATGCTTTGCTTTCCAGACATCTTTGAATTTGTCCTCAGGAAGTTGACATTGCATGTGCAGATGGGATGATGTTAACCATGTTAAGGAAATTACATGTGAGGAAAAAGCCCAATAGTTTGGAGAACAGTAATTTACAATAGAGGTGCAGTGGGATTTTGCAGTACGAATAAGGGTGGTAAAAGCACTTCTAACTTCTGCCACAGGCATGTGGATGGTAGCCCTTTTCAAGAGTCTTAAGTTATAATCCTATTTTATGTGGTATTTATTAATACATTTGGTGATGAGCATTAAATAATGCAAATAATTAAATGTATTCCTTCCAATTTAATAGCAGATTGACAAAACACTCCCCGTACCAGCCCTGAAGATTGGGCCTGCAGTGGATAACAATGCAGTGGACATGTAGACCTGTGTGTTGCTTTATTTCTTGCTCTGGGGAACCTGTGACTCCTTAAATGTGCTATGGTGTGGGGGAAGACTTAAGTATCCTTCTCTAATATGTATTCTGTGCTCTGTGAATGACAAATTCCACAGTTTGAGGGGCCTAAACTTGCTAATTTTACTAAGTATATGAAACACACTGGTCAGCAAATTAAATTGACAGTTGAACTGCTTAAAACCAGGGACTTTCCCACACAGCCCTATTTAACACTGGAGATCTTTACAGATGTCAATTACTTGGGTTTTAAAAAGTGATTGGGCAGGTTTGTGGAAGTAAAAAACAATGAAGGGCCATTGACTACTGAGACAATACTTTTTGCTTAAGAAGGTCCTGAGCTGCAAATCAGTGGAGAACGGGGAAGGACTGAAAGTTTGATACCTGCTGGCGCAGCTCTTCCATCTCTTCCGCAGGTATCCACTAGTGGCTGCTATTCCCCGCCGTCGGAAAAGCGCAAACACAGCGCCACCACCCCGCTCCCGGCCATGCAGTGATACAGAAGCATTTCTTGCTTTGTGGGAAATAGCGGAGGGCGGCTCACCCCCAGGGCTCTGGACAGGAAAGTGCCTGTCTTCATCAGGATGTCACCCTTGCCACATAATAGGAGAGGGGTTCTGTTAGCAGGACTTTGGGGGAAGTCCTGGCATGGCTGTGTTCGCTTTGTGAAGGTCACACTTCATACTCACCTGGCCATACCAGCAGGTAAGACCTGAGCAGGCGTAACTTTATTATAAACCCTGCACCTGGAATGAAAGGGGGGAGTAGTGCTAAACTTGGTGCTCATTTTGCCATAGAATTAATGAGAATGACCATAAGCATCAAATGCCGCAAGGAGGGGTAATTCCCAAACTCCATCTCTCCCTCAGTGGCCACCCACCAGACTTTCCACTGCTATGGCAAAGACATGGTAGGTGGCAGAACCATGTCTGCCACCTTTACCTCTTGCACCTTCCTAGGCATGTGCACAACACTAACTGTAAATCTGAGCTGGGAAAGCACAGCACAGATTCTGTAAATACCAAGTAGGCTTTTTCCTGGAAAACATCTTCTGTCTTATGATAGTGCATTTACTTTCGCTTTCTTAAACCGTCACAAAGGCGATATTATGATATGTCTCATAAACCCATTTCTATTGTTTATTAGGTAATCAGTTAATAACATGAGAAGTACATTCCCAAGGAGGTGGACAGCTCTTTCCATTCAGAAGTACACCTTGCTAGTTACAAAATCCAATTGCTTCTCACTGACTTGTTAGGCATCATGATGCATTGGCTACCAGCAGTCTTGTGCAGAAGGTGCCCCACATCCGTTGGAAGGCCAACAGCAGGATTTGGTAAGTCATGTTGGAATTTCTTGCCTGTTAGAATTTCTTCTAATGCTGTAAGCAAAAACATAACATTGATAAAAGAACAAGCAGCAGGATCCTTGTGAAATGATATAAACATTGCAAATGGAACCCCAGATGGGCTCTTGGGAGGTATCAGGTCTATTTTTTTGTTCTGTACGGGGAATGCTAGAACAGTGAAAGGTGACAGTGTCTTTTACGAGCAATTAGATCTGTCAGAAAACACAGTGAGTAGTCTCTGCCTCCCCTGTTAGCAAGTCTTCTGTTTCCAGCTAGCCACTCAGCAGTGAAACTCAATGCCTAGCAGCATAAAAGGATCATTTAGCTTGAAACAATAATCCAGTGCAGGTTTAACCTTTTATGTGTTGTTGGTTGTTTGTTGGGTTTTGTTTCTCTTTTAATTTGGCCCAGCTCAGCAGCGTTGTTTCTAAGCAACAGGAGAAATCTACAGTCTGGTGTGAAGCCATAGTGTAATTACCCTGGCATACAAACTGAGTGGCAGAGGGAAGAAAGGAACAGCAATATCAAGAGGGAATTCCTCCTCATAGATACCTGAAGTCAGAGGCTCCAAACCGCGATCCTGAGGCCTTTTCTGAGAGTTGACACAGGTATTGTGTGATTTCATGTATACATGTATGAGAGAGATAGTAGGGGAACAATATCCAGTAACACAGAGATCTTACTAGATATGTTATTACTTTGTGCATAATGGAGCAAAGGAGTGAAGCCTGCACTTTAATACTACAATAAATTGACGGGTCAGGTGCTTCTCTCTTTGCTGTGTTCTGTCAGGCCAGCTGTTATATCTTCCACTCTTTCCTCTTTCCAGTTCATCCCTTCTTTTTACCATATAGATTTCATTAATACACATACAGCATCAAGAGCAAGCCATGTGCTAAGAAGCTCAGAAGCAGCAGCAGATTTATAGATTGCATTATATGTGAGTATATACATGACTGTTGCAATGACATGAATATACCTGACATGTTGCAAGCAACCTGCAAGTTGACACTCAGATCAATGTTTATTTTAAATGGGCTTATTCTGCCCATTTCCCATTACCAAACTCCTTACCCTCAGTTTCAGTATTTTGCGTGTTGTCTTCTCTTTCTTGACTAGATTTTCCTCATCCTCTATTGTAATCCGACCTGGGAAATGGGTTTAACTGGATTTTTGTAGGGGGTCTCCAAGTGTCCCATACTCTTTATCTATGATTCCTGTTCACTTACTGACAGATATTTTGGTAGGATACACTTTCCTCTCTCCTAGATCCCATTGAGTTGAGTATCTGCTACAGGAGCTAGAGTATGGAAAGAAAACACCTGAAGAAAGAGGTTGAAAAACTCCTGTAAGTAGCAACTGCCCACAACTGCCTTCATTGCATTTGAGATGGACTTGGTTTTGTGTCAAAGTGTTGCATGACCTAGCTGGATGACAACTCTAAAACCGTAGTCTTTTCTTGCTGGGAGGTAGGAACAGACATCCTTTGAGACGTTTTCATTTTCTCAAATGCGGTCAGCAGTGTGACACTTGACTGTATATGTGACAGTAGAGATGTCACAGCCTAGAACTTGCTCTGTGTCAGTGGGAGTGACCAGGGAGGTGCAGAGTTCTTCCCTTGCCATGCAGCCAGTGCAGCTGCTGTAAGGTGTCTCCTTGTTCACACATCAGGATCTCATGCTCTCAATTCAGACGCACCCAGCAGACAACTCCTAGAGGATGAAAGCAATGTCGCATCTAATCCATACAAGTCCTGTGCCCATCTTCTCTAGGACTGCTTGGATGGATCAGTAGTATTTAGTCTAAGGACAAATTGCAGAATCAGACCTCCCCTGAATGAGAAGAACAAGCACCAGGAAAGCATCTCTTTCAGTCTCTTTGCCACATAGTGAAATCCTTCTGTGAGTCCCCAGACTTTAAATACTTAATTAATATTTGTACTTATTCCTGTACTTTGGAGCCTTTGTGGAAGACAGCAGTGTGGTTGAGTGAAGTTAATATTAGCAGTGATGCAGAAAATGAACAGCTTTCCAACTTAGGAGGTGTCTGTGAGAAATCCTGCAGCAGATTCCTAGCCCTGAATCATAGCAAATTTAGCCCCAGTCTTGCACTAGGTTTAATCTATTGCATTTCTTATGCAGTGGATTGCTTAGAACCAGTTGTAATTTTGAGTTTTCTTGCTTTAAGGGGAGATTATGTTGGCATCAGACTGCAAGAAAATAAATTTGATCCAAGAGGACAAAGGCAGCCCACTTTTCTAGATGACATGGTAATCACCAGACTTCTTCTTATCCTTTTTAACTGCATGGCTACTGAGAACTCTGAAGGATGGCTGTTTGGTACAGCTAAATAATCTGTTCCTACAATCATCAGTAAAAGCCTATCACTGAAATGAGTATCAAAAGAGACTGGCTGTGAATAGCATCCAGGTGTAATGTATCCAATATAATTCAAGCTTTTGCTGATTTTTCGGCAAGGCTGAACTTATCCACAGGGAACATTCAAGTCAGCTAACCAAAGGGAATTCTTCACAAACTAAAGCTGTCTACGTATAACCAAATGTCTTTCAGCTAAGATGAGAAAACCTTCCTGGTATGTTTAAAACCCCTCAAACTTCAGCAAGTGTCTTACAACTGCTGAGGTACCCAATGTAGTTGAGACAATACTGGCCTTCAGCTCACATTTCCCTGCATTTCTCTGGTCTTTCTGTCATCCCTAGTTAAGCAATTACAGTAAAACAAAACACATAAGGTTATTCTGCCTTTCCAGGTCCATTACAACTTAGCCCTCAGCATTGCTTTGCTGTGGCTATCTGACTTGGGTGTTCAAACTGCACTGACAAGAGAGAAAACGTGAGTATTGCAAAGCTAAGGTCCTGCTGTTGCGGTGGGTTACACCAGTGTGAAAATGGAGTAAAAGCAGCAGTGAATCAGGCTCAGGACTAGTTTTTGGATGTATAACACCAGGCTAATAATCTTCTTGTTTAAAACACCGTACAGGAATTTTGCAGCTCACAACCGATACGCATATCCCAACCGAATTGAGAGAGAAGCTATGATATTATCTTCGTATGCTGGAATATTAATGGTAAGCAGGCAAGAAAGATATAAATACCTTTTGCTCTATGCCATCTGTTTAGGAACACTCCTTGTATTCTGAATGACTGTGTTCATTGAAAGCACAGTATACAGACAGTGCTGATATTACAAATCTGTCTCATTTTTATCAGGTAGCCATTAACTTTTGCTCAGTCTTAGAAAAAAGAAAAAATAGGCAGTTTTGGTAGGTGATCTGTGTGCGTTTATAGGCTACTTACCTTTTTTCACCCAAGTCCAGAACAGTGAGCAAGTTTCAGAACCAGATCTCAATAGATTTGTACTAGCAGCATGGAACAATACTAGGAGCTCACATGAAGGAGATGAAATGAAAGGGATATAAGCTGGATTTCATACATTCACTTTAAAGAATGCTTCTTCTGAGAGCTGAGCCTCCTTACCTGCCTTTCACAGAACAGCATTCCTGTTGAAGAGATCTTTGAGATTTACAGGCCCTCAGCAACACACTGTCAAAGCTCTGCAAAGGTGAGTGATTTATCAGTTTTTCCTCATGCTCGCAGGCCCTTGTTCTCATGGGTGACTTCAACCACCCTGACATCTGTTGGAAGGACGGTACGGCCCGGCACAAGCAATCCAGGAGGTTCCTTGATTGTGTAGAAGACAACTTCCTTCTGCAAGTAATAGAGGAGCCGACAAGGAGAGGTGCCATGCTTGACCTCGTGCTCACCATCAGGGAAGGGCTCGTTGGAAATGTGACGCTCCAGGGCAGCCTTGGATGCAGCGATCATGAGATGCTCGAATTTGAGATCCTCAGGACAGTGAGAAGAGCGTGCAGCAAGCTCACTGCCCTGGACTTCAAAAGAGCAGACTCTGGCCTCTTCAGGAACCTGCTTAGGAAGGTTCCATGGGATACAGCCCTAGAGGGCAGAGGGGCCCAAGACTGTTGGTTGATATTCAAGGATCACCTGCTGCAAGCTCAGGAGTGTTGCATCCCAACCAGAAGGAAGTGCAGCAGGAGGGTCAGGAGACCTCCTTGGATGGATAAGGAGCTTCTGAGGAAAATCCAATTGAAGAAAGAGGCTTATAATAAGTGGAAGCAAGGACAGGTGGCATGGAAGAGTACAGGGATGTTATCTGAGAAGCTAGGGACCAGGTTAGGAAAGCTAAGGCTCAGTTAGAATTAAACTTAGCTAGAGGTATTAAAGGTAACAGGAAGGGATTCTACAGGTACATAGCAAATGAAAAACAGACTAGGGAGAATGTAGGCCCCCTCAGGAAGCTCTCGAGAGAACTGGCTACGCAGGATTTGGAGAAGGCTGAGGTTCTGAATGACTTCTTTGCTTCGGTCTTCACTGCCAAAGGCTCTGACCAAACCACCCAAGTCTTGGAAGGCAGATGTAGGGACTGTGAGAATGAAGACCTTGCACCCACTGTAGGAGAGGAACTGGTTCGAGACCATCTTAAAAATCTGAATGTGCACAAGTCCATGGGTCCTGATGAGATTCATCCGCGATCCTGAAGGAGCTGGAGAATGAAGTTGCGAAGCCGCTGGCCATCATATTTGAGAAATCATGGCAGTCAGGTGAAGTTCCCAATGACTGGAAAAAGGGAAATATAACCCCCATTTTCAAGAAGGATGACCGGGGGAATTACAGAGCAGTCAGTCTCACTTCTGTGCCTGGCAAAATCTTGGAGCAGATTCTCCTGGAAGGCATGCTAAGGCACATGAAAATCAACAAGGTGCTTGGTGACAGCCAGCATGGCTTCACTAAGGGGAAATCCTGCCTAACCAATTTGGTGGCTTTCTGTGATGGGGCTACAGAACTGATGGACAGGCATAGAGCAGTTGATGTCATCTACCTGGACTTGTGCAAAGCGTTTGACACTGTCCCACACAACATCCTTGTCTCTAAATTGGAGAGACATCAATTTGATGGATGGATCACTCGGTGGATAAAGAACTGGCTGGATGGCTGCACACAAAGAGTTGTGGTCAATGGCTCAATGTCTGGCTGGAGACAAGTAACGAGTGGTGTCCCTCAGGGATCGGTGTTGGGACCGGTCTTGTTTAACATCTTTGTTGCTGACATGGACAGTGGGATTGAGTGCACCCTCAGCAAGTTTGCTGATGACACCAAGCTGTGTGGTTCGGTTGATACCCTGGAGGGAAGGAATGCCATCCAGAGGGACCTTGACACACTCGTGAGGTGGGCTGATGCCAACCTCATGAGGTTTAACCATGGCAAGTGCAAGGTCCTACACCTGGGTCGGAGCAATCCCAGGCACAGCTACAGGCTGGGCAGAGAAGAGATTCAGAGCAGCCCTGTGGAGAAGGACTTGGGGGTGTTGGTCGATGAGAAAATGAACATGAGCTGGCAGTGTGCGCTTGCAGCCCAGAAAGCCAACCATATCCTGGGCTGCATCAAAAGGAGCGTGACCAGCAAGTCGAAGGAGGTGATCCTGCCCCTCTACTCTGCTCTTGTGAGACCTCACCTGGAGTATTGTGTGCAGTTCTGGTGTCCTCAACATAAAAAGGACATGGAACTGTTGGAACAAGTCCAGAGAAGGGCCATGAAGATGATCAGGGGACTGGAGCACCTCCCGTATGAAGACAGGCTGAGGAAGTTGGAGCTGTTCATCCTGGAGAAGAGAAGGCTGCGTGGAGACCTCATAGCAGCCTACCAGTATCTGAAGGGGGGCTATAGGGATGCTGGAGAGGGACTCTTCATTAGAGACTGTAGTGACAGGACAAGGGGTAATGGGTTAAAACTTAAACAGGAGAAGTTTAGGTTGGATATAAGAAGGAAATTCTTTCCTGTTAGGGTGGTGAGGCACTGGAATAGGTTGCCCAGGGAGGTTGCGAATGCTCCATCCCTGGCAGTGTTCAAGGCCAGGTTGGAGGAGGCCTTGGGTGATATGATTTAGCGTAAGGTGTCCCTGCCCACAGCAGGGGGTTGGAACTAGATGATCTTAAGGTCCTTTCCAACCCTAACAATTCTATGATTCTATGATTCTATAAAAGTGTAACTGAGCAACCAGATGGATACAAAAAAAAAAAAAAAAAGGCCTTCAGTAGACAAAAAGGAGATACTTTGTCCAGCCTTAATAATCAGGTCTCATCCCTGCAGAAATTTCACCAGTTAAAGCTTTTCAGTTATACTCTGCCCAGGAACTAATTCTTACCTTAGCCCCAAGTCTTAGCCCCTTAGTCTTCAAGTGGTATCCCATTCCCAAACATACTTAAAAGGCTTTCATCATTGCCAGTGTCACACATTGTAGAATCTATCCCACACTTTTTGACATCTTCTGCCCTTTAGGTCCACATTTGGTGGTACTAGTGACTCTTAGCTTTGGCCATAGCAATGATACACTCTTGGTTTCTTTTCCCACCAGCCTACTGCCTAGACTGGTGGGCTACAAGCAATGAAGTGGAAGGAAGCTCCTGCTGCACAAAGGCCTAATGCAATTGGATCCTATAATATCTTGTGCCTTTAAAAGATGTTACATTTTAAGTCATTTGCTCCTTTTGCCCCATTAGTAATAACAAACTAGCTCCAGCTTTCTCTCTTTGAACAGAGCAAAAAGCTGAACTAAACCTCCTCCTCTACCTCACAGTGTGCCAGGCAAGAAAAGGGCAGCCCAATTATTCACAATCACACTAAGATGTAACCCAGCTCCTGGGCCTTTGGCATAGTGCTTTACAGAGCAGCATTCCCACTAGCATGCTCTGATTACCGCTAATGTGGAATGGACAAGAGGCTATGAAGATCCAAGGAGATACAGCCTGCTTCAAAAGGGCTTTGCCTGTGTTCAGAGCAAGTTTCTCTAGCAGAAGAGCTTTAGTCATGTAAGTGTAATTGCCCTTAAAAAAAAAACACCAAAAACACAGGGGAGGTATTATACTCTTTAATTCATGACTCAAATCAAAAGAAAGTATTCTATATGGCCCAGCTATTTAATGAAAGAGCATTTGTAGCAGGAATATATAGGTTTCATTTCCAGTAACACAGACTTTATTGATGTTTCCCAAGCAACCATTAAAAGTTGCTGTGGAATTGTAATCAGAGTACAAAAGATGATTCACATGTAATTCACAGTGGTTCTCGTGCACTTAGTTTATTTTTTGTTTACTTTAGTCATGCTTAGCCATAATATTAAAAACAGACTGCCACCCGATGTCCAGAAAGGGCTAGAGCACACTCCAACTCACAGTTACATGCGTCAGAACAGCCTTGGGCGTAACCTCTTAGTTGAATTTTCCCATGTCAAGAACTAGAAATGCCACTAGATGCCATGTAGGGGCATTTCACATGTTAGGTTGAAGGAGGAATCTTCCACTCTGCTCCTGAGATAAGTGGGTGGATCAGCTTTCCCTCTTTTTCTGTGGACATTACATTGTGCATTTTTATTGTCATGCTTCTTATGGGCAAGAATCCTTTTCTCTAGGAATTCCCAACCCAGGATATTTTTTGAAGTCTCCATGTTGAGTGCACAGCATACAGTGGAGAGGAGTGGTGTTTTCTTGAAGGTGTTCCACCTACTCATGCTGCTTCCCATGGTGGTTTGTGGGGTTTGTTTGTCAGTTTGGGTTGGTTTGGGTTTTTTTCATGGTTGGGTTTTGTTTTTTTTTCAGTTTTGTTTGGTTTCTCTTTTGGTTTGGATTTGGGGGTATTGGGGGGGGGGGGTTCTTGTGTTTTTTGTTGCTTGGGGTTTTGGCTTTTATTGGGGGGGGAGGAGGTAGTGGGGTGTTTACCTTTGATTTATATTCTGATGTTATGCAATCAGAGACAAAGAAAGAACAGAAACAGTCTTTCTGTTCATCTCATATTACGGTGCACTTGCCTAGATCCTGTCCCTAGTGGACTTCTGGATACTTCCCTGCTGCTCATAAGATAGCTGTCCTGGGTTCAGCTGTAACAGGGTTTTTTCTCCTTTGTAGTAGCTGATGCAGTACTGTGTTTCAGCTTTAGCCTTGGAACAATGCTGATAACACACCAATGTTTTAGTTGTTGCTAAAAAATTATTACTCTGATCAAGGACTTTTCAGCCTCATGCTCTGCCAGTAAGGTACAGGAAGCTGGGGGGAAGCAGTGACAGGACACCTGACCCAGGCTAGCCAAAGGGGTATTCCATACCACAGCACATCATGCCAAGTATATACACTGGAGGGAGTTACACAGAAGGCCCAGATTGCTGCTCAGGTTGAGCTAGGTATCGGTTGGCGGGTGATGAGCAATTGTATTCTCTCCCCTTGTTATTTCCCTTATCATTATAGGCGGTAGTAGTATTATATTTTACTTTAGTTATTGGACTGTTCTTATCTCAACCCATGGTATTTCCATTCTTTCAGTTCTCCTCCCTAACCCGCCTGGAGCAGGGAAAAAGGAAGGGCGTGAGTGAACAGCTGTGTGGTACTTTGCTACCAGCTGGACTTAAACCATGACAACAGCAGAGTTACAAAATTTTCTAAAGAGGAAGATAAACCATTGCTATCAGGATCTCCAGTTTCTATTTCAGACAACAGCACTGCTTAGTTTTAATCATGGGCATAAGATCATTTCCACTTTGGGAAAGGAATGGAAATGCTTTGCTGAATTTGGGAACTGAGGGTAATTTATTTTGCAAAGCCTTAATTAGTTTAAGAGGTTAAATCTACTGTTTTCATTAACTGTAACTTTGGAGCACAGCTTGTGCCTCTTTAAGAATCCTAGACTCAAAGAGCTGGAATCCAGCCCATCTCAAAATTCAGTTTCTGTGGCTCTCTAGTTACCTTTTTTTTTTTGTTCCCTGTTTCCCACCAAAGTAAATTGGTGGAGAATCTCCATCAATTCTGAAGCCTTGGCTTAGCTCTCCTTGAAAATCAAGCACTAGCTACACAAAGATATGTAGATACTTAGATATGTCATATCCTAGTGGGATTCTGATTCATAAGAAGGCACATCCTGACCTGAAATGGATGTAATGGTTGCTATCCTGACTGCCTGTCACTTCTCAGTTTCCTATTCTGTTGTCTGGCTATTTCAGGAGCTGCTATATGAACAGCTGAGGAGCTGCAGGCTGCTGCCAGGATGCTATTCCAGACCACAATCCCCAGGCTGCACCAGCACACACATGGCTATAAAATGCAGCAGCTCAGCTACTATGCGGATAACTGAAATGTCTGGCCAGTGGGGATGGGCACTTCAAGAAGCTGGGTGGATCAAGCAGCCAGGACAAAAACTGTCAGCAAAGCTGTCCTTATTTATCTACCAGGACCTCTTAAGCAGTTATTCTGTTTTCTGCTGACTCCAACAGAGACTGCCCATTTGGCTAGGCACATAGTTTCTGCAGATATACTAATCCATGAATTGTTGTCTTTCCAGAACCACTCGATTCAGCCTTTCAAGCTCTCCCTGCATCCGTTTGCCATGCTGACTGCCCCTGAAGCTGCACAGTATGCCTGCAAGCAAAGTGAGCACATTTTACCCCAACTCCCAAAAGACCAGGGCAGGGGTATGTGGGACAGCAGTGCCTGGCCCAGCAGAGCCACCAAGTTACAGCCTGCTGAACTGCAACAGATGCCTTTGTGCCTATCCTCTTGCAGGGAGGGAAGGTACAGGCATTTTCTCATTGTATCCTAGAAATAGTGTCTAGCTCAGGCTCCTAAAGCTTATGGCAGTTGCAAAGGGAGCATTTTCCTCAAGTTGAGGTAAACAGTAAGACTACATGTTTCTAGTAGAATCAGCCTTTATGTCTGACAGTCACTTGTTCTTAAGCTTCAGTTAATAGCAGGAATTTTGCAAACGTCAGTTATGTTACTGGCCAGTGAAAGAGCCGCCCTTCCCTTCCCTGCTTCATTTCCAAGTGCAGCAAAAATGAGAGTAACTTCAGGAGCATTAGAGAATTTGAAGCTGGGACCCCTTACCTCCAACCACGTATTGCAGCTGATCCCATGCAGTAGGTCTGTAAACCAGTCTCATGGTACTGTATAAGCCCAAGGTGATGCGAGACTCTTTCTCTCTCACAAGGCACCAAGTTCAAGACAGCAGCAGCATATCAAAAGACCAGCCCTGGTTCAAGGAGAGCTAAAAAGAACAGCAAGCAACTGGACTCACTGACCAAAGGAAAACAACAGGTTGGCAAAGCAGGTCTGAAGAATTCACACAAGCCAGTGAAACTATTTTTGCAACGCTAGCACTGACTGTCACAGCTAGAGCACACCTCAGGCCACCCAGAGCCCACAAAACCTTTTTTGTCTCATGCTAAAACATGCTGAGAAGTGCAGACATTTCATACTAGTACTAATTTATAACAGTCAATCCTAAATTGTACTTTAAAGGCAGCTGTATAACAACTTGTCAGGAGGTGTCACTCATGAGCTGGAAAATCAATTCCAGTAATATTAAACAAAGACATGGAAGCCACTCTTCTGGCTTATGTCCCTGCAAAACACATTCACTACTATTATTTTTAGGTTTAAAAGAAAAAAAAAAACAAACCCAAACCAAAAAGTTGAAACTATATTTTCTTTAAATAACAAAGAATGATTGCATAAAGAAGCCAATAATATCAGATGAGCCTAACATGCACATGAATTGGGCTCTCCCTTTCCCTTTGTCCACGATCTGCTAAAGCCTATTTGATGTAGCTTCCCCTGAGCTAGAATGCTAACATTCCAGCAGCAGGGCTGGATTTTACCAAGTAAAGGGGCTCCCCCACAACCCTGAGTTCAATGTGTATCACATGTTGCACAGCAGGGGGGAAGCTGATCTGCCAGGCAGTCCTCATCTCTCCTGATGGATTCAGCCATGCATGCTGTGCTTGCATTTATTAACATTTGCATCCAGCAGGGAGTTACAGAAGCAAAACAAGGAATCCCTCTGGAGAAGCCTGGAACTGATTCAAAAGCAAGGAATGCAAAGGAAACAAAGACATAAAGACCCAGACTTCATGTACCTCACTTAGCTGTAGGTGAGCTAATGGATGTTTGCTGCCTTAGCTTTGGTAATACATTTGCAACTCATATTTTGTTGTTTTTTTTTTGTTTTGTTTTGTATTTAAATCTTAGCAGTCATTCCTTCCTTCCCGCCTCTTATAACTTATATCCAAGACTGATATTCACTCTTCTTCCCTTAGCCACCTCTTTTCTGCTTCCCTGACAGTGTGTTGGGAGCTTACATTTTCCCAATACACCCCTACTGCTTCTCAACACACCATGCTATTTTTATGGAGCCAAAGAGAGGATCCAGCACTTCAGAGACAGGGAGTACACACTTCCCGTTGTCCACAGTGCTGTGCAGCTCCCACGTATGATCCAGAGTGGGGCAGGAATGAGCTTCCCTGCATGTGACACAAGAGTTGTGCCTCTCAGGATGATCCCATTTTCTTCAGCTGTCCTCTAATCACCCTGCTTTCTTATTTCCTTAGAGGCCTCAGCTAAAGAAAAAGCCTCTCTCCGTAGTGCCAGTGTAGCACTGAAGCCTGTCTTCCATTCCCTGCTTGCTGGTCTCGCTATGCTCGTGCTGTGTTGCCCGAGAACACTCTCTGTTTCCTAAATGGACTGTCACAACCCTCATCCTTGTACTTATTCTACCTTGGGTTACGAGTTGGGTGCATGCAGTTCTGCTTCCACATCCCTCTCCTCCTCTGCCTGGAAGCCTAGGCACACAGCTTGGGGTGTTTCTATAGGATTCTTTATACTTAGTTCCATACAAGTTTCAGGACTCAGTGGAGTCGTAGAAGTGTTCACTGCTGAGAAGCGTGTTTAACTCCATTAGATATCTTTACGTATGAAAATGATAGAAATAAAGATTCCCAGCTACATCTAGCCATGAAATAGATATTAATCCAAAGTATGGTCTCATTGTACAGCTGCATTAACCCATGCCCTGGAGATGGTCCTGTACTCTAATGCAAAATATCTGCTTAAGGAAAAAAAGACAATAAACACTTGTGAAGCAATACTATTTTTCTTCTTCTGCCTGCTGATTCTTAGTCAGTCACTGAGCTGATATATGGAGATGCCAAAAGACAGCACTACACAAGAAAGAATGGTTATACTTAGTGACTCAAAGGGTCTTTTAGAAGTCATCATGGACTCAAAGCTTGTTTTCAGTTTACCATATTCACAGCTATTTATTTTAACATATCACATATTTCCTGTTTAAAATCAGTCTAAAATAAAATGTAGTTGCTGCAAACACTTGGCCTTCCAATTTTGAGCTCTCCATAGGGAAAGACCTATTATTGGTACATTCCAAACCAACTGAAATCCACATATTGGTACATTCCAAAAAATTACAGATTAACTGGTGAGTCTTTGTGCTGATATTGATGGGTCTTCTTGGCCATATAGTGCATCCCCCACTTGCCTTTCAAGCCATGTGAGCCAAAGTTGAAGGTCTTAAGGGTGTCAGATGAGAAGGCTAGAGGGGTCTTAAGATCAACAGCAACATCACTCTCACACAGGAACTTTTCAGCCATGGATTTGTTAAGCATCACCTGTTTTGCCCTGGCTAGTTCACTCTGCAGGAGCAGGATTACTGCAACACACTATCCAATCCCATTTAGCAGCTCCTACCTCTCCTTCCAGGCCCTGTGTCACAGTCAGCACAGGATCATTCCTAGAGCTTAGACCACCCATCACTTCTAAACAGTCTTCTCTTCTTGCAAACAAATTCAGTAGAGCAGTGCCAGGACCTGACCAAATTTAATTTCGACTCAAACAGCATCAGTGTGACCTCTTTAAGCCAAAGCAGAGAGAAACTTTACTTTGAAATGAGGTCATTACAAGAGGGGAAGAGGTGTTATTGCTGCTAAGCACATGAGGAGAACAATGGTGAGGGGGTGGTTAAGATTAAACAGCTAGAGAGATTAACATCTCATGACTGCTTTTTGTTCACTGACCGGCAATAAACAGTAAGACTCTAACAAATAGGTGATTAGCCACGTTACTCCAATGCTGCTTTTGTTATTACAGTGCTGCCATGGTCTTCACTTTTCATTGGCTAATACTTCCGGGATTTTAGATAAGGCTGGTAGAGTTAAGACAAGTAAGCAACTGAAATGTTGCTGTGCTAATAAGCACAAAAACAGTGTTTCATTTTCAGGGTGCATATACCTGCCCCTTTTGCCACTCCCTCTCCTGCTGGCTGGCTTGTGTCAAGCCCAGCAGATCAGGTGGTTTGCTGTTCACGTTTTCAGACAGCCAAAATCAGGAACCTGAAAGGTGCTTGCAGATGTGTGCACAGTGAGATTGATAGCCTTCTGTCACCTTGGCTGAAGTTTCCTCTTTTCCTGAGGAAAGGCTTTGCTGTGACCAGCCCAATTAGCCAGGACGCTTCAGACTCTCTTCTTGGCTATGCAAAAAAGCAGTGTACATAGTTCAGAGCTCAGATGAGATGCCAAGTCATGAATTTGTTCTACAGGACCCAGAAGAGACCTCTGATTATATGTGCACACTTATCATCTGTCACATGCATACAGTTTGTGCCTACCACTGCACTGTAATACTATCCAGAGTAGGAAAGATAAGAAACCATTTTGGGTCTGTTCTTTCCAAACGCCTAAAATCATGGTACTGAGGTCTTGTGCAGCAAGTGGGGAACTGAACGGGGTATCATCCACTTTCCTTCTGGCAATTTAAGAGCTGCCCATTGTACCCCAGAGACTGACTCCAGTAGCAGAACTCATGGTGGCAACTTGGTGCTGCAATTCACAGCCCAGTTTATGACACTGAAATCAGAGAGTTTCAGCTAATGCTCTCGACTGTGAACAACACAGTAGCTGAGGCACAGGCATACTGCCTGAAGGACCAGAGGTGCTGACTTTTTGAACTTCCCAACACAAGCTTATGATTCAGTTTCTAGACCTTAGCTAGAGTTACTAGAGCTCTGTGATACAAGCAACCCCTATTTCTGCTACAGTAATCCTGACTTTAGACATGTCACTACTGATTCTCTAGCTATTCCTGAAATTCTCACTCATTTTGGTGAAGAGTTTTTTCCTAGGCAAATGTTGGGTGGAAACATTTAGCATCCATCTTGGAATGGCAAAACACCCTTTGTGTGCAAGAGATCAGTTTATCTGTAGGAGAAAAGTATAACCAAACTGTTAGGAAAATAATCAATTTTGTCAGGATGGAATGTAATTGTCTGAAGACTTAATCTATTAAGTTCATAGGACCATATATCTTCAAGAGGCAGCCAGCAGCAAGAGCAAATACCAGAGTCAACAAAATGAGAAATTCACTTTTACTCAATCTTTCTAAAACAATGTAAAGGATGGTGGCTCCATGAGGGGTGTTCTGATTTACAATCAAGCATCTCTGCTGCATTTTCTACATCTTAGAATGGCTTCAGGTGCTCAGAGCAGGAACTAGCCCAGGCTGGCTCCAAAAAGGAATTTGTCTGCAGCAAGGCTGAGTCAGAGAGAACACCAACTGCCAAATCTTGCAGACTGTCACCAGGTTGGGTGCTGTTATGGAAGTGATCTGCCAGGTTCTTGCACACAGGTATTTGCACTGCCAGAGACAAACACATAGTCCATTTATGTGAAGCAAGTATGTGATGTTGTCGCCAAAGACATCCAGGGCTAGACTTCATGGCCTTTTGTGGGGACTTGCATTAACATCTGTTGTTCAAAGAACTCGTGTGCAATCTATGCAGCATATAACCATTTCTCTAGACCATTCAACATCCCAAAGATCCACCATCAGTTTACCATATGGCTGGACTCAGTCATAAGGGTCTTTTCCAACCTAGATGATTCTATACACAAGGGTTTACACTTTGAAATAGAGGCGGATGTGACACTAGAGCACTGTGACAACTTGGCACTAATTTTTGGTGTTAGGTATTTCTTGCATGCTCACACTGCTTGTTGCCAGTTCCATCAAGTCCAGGTCAGCAACCCCTCCAGCAAACAAAAATAAAGCCCTGAAGAGTGTACTTGCAGTGACAGCAACAATAAATCTAGTACAACAGTCAAGCAAACATCATGACAAACAAATCCATCGGGATGAACACAAGTGGTCTGAGGTAACCAAGAAAGCCTGGAAGAAAGGGTCTGAATATAAAGAGGAAAGGAGAGTATCTGTTTGGAAATGGTGAGCGCACATTAGCCTCTGTCATCTAATAAGGATACAGTTGGAAACAGCATTAGTGAAGTGGCTTGTGATGGAAGGACAGGAAAGCAGAGGTTTCATATTCTCCCTATCCATTTCCCCAGAAGACACTCTTGTCTTTACTTCCCTGCTACAGTACTGAAAGCCCTTTTCTTTGGCCAGAAATCTTGTAAGCAAAGCTGTGCTTCACTAAGTCTCCCAAACCTTGCTCTGCTCTCCCTTCTTATGTCACAAACACTCATTTGTTCCACTGAGTGGAGTCTATGTAGTTGCAAATAGAGAACTCTGAAATAAATTAGATCTGCAAAGGTGTTCAGCTGCATGCCAAGTTAACTGATGAATCATATTGACAAGGTCTTTACATGCTTGAAAGAGTTTCCCCAAATACAGAAGATTATAAATCTCTGTTTTGGAGTGCTGTAATTTCTTTTGATCTGAAGCCTCACCTACTGGCGATATAAGACCTTTGTATAACCAGCTTTGCAAATTCCATGAAGCGCTTTGTTTTTAAGAGCCTAAGATTTAGGTGTGAGAAAATGATAATTAGAATAGAACAAGTCACAGTTTGTTCCAGTTCTGCACCAAACAAGGGAAAAATAACAGACAAGAAGTTCCAAAACAGAGGAACACAGTTTTCCATAACCTGCTAGCTGGGCTTTAGTATTAAAGCACTCTACTTTAGCACTAAAAACCAATCCTTCGTTGCTTCAGATAGAGAGTAAATTAAGTTCTGCTTGCTCCCTTTGACTTTTTAAAACAGACTTTCAAAGAGAGAGAAATAAACCAACTGACCCAAACTGATTTACAATGTTAGCCAGTAATTTGGATACGCTGATAAACATCTAATAAAGAACCACTTGACTGCTAGCCTTCAGGAATGCAATAGTTAACCACACACCAGGAAGAGACTGAAACTTTTAGTCACTGTTTCCTCCTATCATGTCTGTGCTAAAATCTGTACATAATAGAGGGGATTAGTAAGGAAAAGCTAACAATACCACATGACAGGGAGACTTTTCCTGTTTCCAGGATAAAGCTGGTGACAAAGAGTTGAAACCAAAGCAAAGTTCATCTGCTCTCAAAAAAGGAAAGATTACTATAGGGCAAAATTAGGTAAGAGGTAATCAACACAGTGGGAGAGGAAGAGACCTATGTGAGAAATTGCTCAGGTCCGCTGAGTTTGAGAGCTTTCAGGCAAAGGAGGTTGTGTAAAGAACTGTGCTTATACATATATCCACCACTGGGTCAGGTGCACCACATGAAACTGCTGATACCAGATGAAAATATAGTGCACTCCACAGCTGCACAGTATTTCACCTGCACATAGCACCAGCAAATGCAGCCCAAACCCCAGAAAAATAAGAATCTTACATGGTAAATGCAAATAATGCCATAACTACAATAAAGACTGTCCTGGTTTCAGCAGTAGCAGTCATGTTTCTCCTTCATAGTAGCTGGGGCAGTGCTGTGTTTTGACTTCCAGCCTGGGAACAGTGCTGGTGATACCGATGTTTTCAGTTGTTGCTAAGTGATGTTTACCCTGACCAAGGACTTTGCGAAGCTTATGCTCTGCCAGGGAGGAGGGGAAGCCGTGAGGAAGCAGAGACGGGGCGCCTGACCCGGGCTAGCCAAAGAGGTATTCCATACCACAGCACGTCATGCCCAGGGTGGGGGGTAACTGGGAGTTACCCAGAAGGACAGGGGCTTCCGGGTAGGACTCGTTTCTTGGCCGGTGGTATTGTATTCTCTTCCCTTGTTATTTTCTCTTATCATTGTTGTCGTTGGTGGTAGCGGTGGTGATTTGTGTTGTACATTGGTTGCTGGACTGTTCTTGTCCCAACCCATGGGAGTTGCACCCTTTTGATCCTCCTCCCCGTTCCTCCGGGAGCGGGGTAGGGGAGAGCCCTGGGGGGTGGGTGGGGGGGGTGGTCCTCGATTGCTCTCAGCCCGGCACCACTCACTGGGAGTGGCTGAACAAGCTGTCTGGCTAGGGTTTAAACCACGACAAAGACAAAACATAGATCTCCGCACAGCTTACAACGTGCCTTTTTGTATTACTTTTTACAGGTGCAGCATTAGGACTATGGTATATAAAAGCAACTACAGTGTTTGCTCATAGCTCTCAGCTTTCACCTCAGCAAACTGCCAAAAATGGGAAAGGTAAGTAGAAGCCCCAGTATGCCAGTACCCTGTTCTGACATAGACACTTGGATGGATTATGAATCTTTGCAAATGTTTATATTGGAGATCATTTTTTTTTATGAAGACAAGAGCTTCTAGGGTCACTGCTATGAATGTGGCAGTGATCACCTTGATTCGTGGTCATATGTGAAAAAATACGATTCCATCCAAGTAGAAAAAGGCAGCTGAACAATTTCTGAGAACCCCAATTACTGAGAACACCAGTACTGTAAAAAGGAAAGACTGTACTAACTTTGAGAAGTTGTTCATTATCTATGACTCCATCAGGTCTTGCCATGTAATCCTACAAATAATTTCTACTTCACAGTGTATCACAGTTTAAGAAGTTTGGTATAGTTTATCCTTTAAGAATATAGGTATACAGTCTCTTCAAGTTACTTGAGAAACAGGCAAAGTTCGGCAAGGCAATGCAAAGTTTCACTGGAAATGAAGGAAATAATCTGTTTAATATCAGTGCTATTTCCAGGGCCTGTTCGTAACTTGGAGATGCTAAAAGAATGCTGAGTGACTATTTCTAGGTAGAAAAGTTTTTGACACTATGCAGGGAAGGTCTAGCAGGGCCAGCTGATAAAGTTCTGCTATAGGTTGATGTATGCAACTTGCTCATGACCATACTATGTTATGATTCAGTGACACAAGAACATGTTAAATCAGGTTTGCAATCAATACAGCTTTCCTGACACAAAAATTGTGTTGGTTAAAGTCAGGCAAAGAACTAATACTTGCTGAAATACTTCTCTGGTTAGTAAGGTATACCAGACTGTGTAAGCTATAGCAGCAGGAACACTCCCATGCTTCACACTGCTTAGCAGTTTGCCACATGGTAATTGCCTGTGCACCAGTGTATAATCGGAGCATATGGAATAACATGTTTAATGTTTTTTAATAGCGTAATTCTGAAAAGGCCACAATATTCATGACTGGTTATGAGTAAGCACCACAGATCATCTCAAAGTCACCTGAATACATTTGCTCCTATTACCACAAAATAGAGTCCTTACAAAATCTATAAATCATAAAGCATCCTCCATTTACTTCCTACCACACGTGATCATACCCATTTGCTGGCACACCTGAGCTCCTCCATATGGGTGAGAGCTTCAAAAGACTGAACCTCTTCACAATCCCATCTCCAGAACACAGTTTCTCAGAAATGCTCCTAGCAGCTCTTTATGTATGTCTTGTTCAGTAATGTCAGAATCAGTTAAATTTCTGTCTTTCCTATATTTTTACTGTGCTTGGCACTGCAGAAATCTGTTTCCTACAGGATTCAGCTCTTTGAAAGAGAGAAGCTGCAAGGCCAAAAGTTGGAGCTCACTAATGATTGCCTATCAGTCCCAGGCTACATCCATCTCCCTAAGATCTGCTCTCAATATTTTAGGTGGTTCTTGGATCTTGTATGAAATACCCACCCTCAGGAGCCAATAGTGTTTACTGAAGCCCAGGGAATACAGAAGATTGCTTGACCAGGGTGTAGTAAACACCAAAATTGTCTCTTTGCAGAGGCTGGCTGACTTGCACTGAGTTTTTGCTCACACAATAAACAAATAGTGAATGCATTTCAAAATCCTTGTTCAAATGAATCTTCCTTCAGTACTACAAACAAATTAAAACTGTGCAGTCCAGAGGGAAATCCAATTTCTCTCACACTTTAGGGGGAGATGGGATATACTTTAAAAAAATATTCACATTTATCCAGCTGTTGCAAAGTTACATGATAATTTAAATAATTGTTAAAGGTCCAGCTGCATATTTCTAGCCCTGGTAAGTGTAGGAGGAGGTCTGATTCTTTCATCAAAGTTTTCTCCAGTTTTACAGGTTTTGATCTAGGAATAGATTACAGTTCTGCACTTACCAGGTTAACAGTATGCAGTTGGACCTTTAACATTTAAATTATCATGTACTGTGGAATAGGAAAATAAGTCCCATTAATAGTTATATCCAGCGAAGTACTGACTGAGGAGGAAAAGGACAGAAAGATGCAGACAAACTCAGAACAAGGTGAATGCTGCATTTGGCATCAAATTCTTCATGGAAACAAGCTGCTCCATGCTACCACTGTTCCAGCAAAACTTTCCAGTCTTATCCCAGTTGATTCCTCCAGAAATACTTTTTCCAGATCCTTAAAAATCACACCACCTTTATATAGCACGTTTCAGTGAATCTCTACTTCATGAACTAAATGTTCAGCTGGTGTCAGTTGCCCTGCCCCTGCTAACTTCAGAGCTGCACTGATCTGCTGCAGCAGTTAGAGATCGAGCTAAATCCCTCAATTGCCAGGCTATTCTGCATGCAAAAGGAACTAAATAAGCACACCAGTGTGGATTAGAAACAGGACAACATCTTCTTGTGCTCAAAAAATCCTATTGCAGCATTAATTATCATTGAAATAATTATGTATATGCCTACTAATCATCACTGAATCCTATGCCAGCAGGCACTCTGTGCAATAATGAATGAGAGCCATAATAAAATACAAAACAGTTAAAGGATCTTACATCTTAACATAGATCTCATTTAGGTAGTGGAGTCTAGAATTTTTTTCCCAGGCATAGTTAGGCAAATATACTACTGCTCTTCAGCAAGGTGCTGGAGACTTTTGGAAAGAGAAAGCAGTAGAGAGAGCATAGAAATACTAGAACACTCTGCAGCCTTATCTAGTGCATGTTTAATTTTAAGTCCTTCCATCTGAGCTTTAAATGTTAGGCTGTGATTTGGTTTTGCCTAATAAACATCCTGATAATGGAGTCCTAGAATAAAACTCAGCAACTTCTATCGCAGTGAGGTAGACTTCTTAAAATTCAACATCTCTACTTGCTAATGTCAGAGACCTCATTTAGCCATTATTTCATGCTCACGTGACCCATCAATAATAGCCTGCTAGTGATCCTCTCCAGCCTTTCCCTGACAACACTGGAGAGGAAAATAGAACCCTTCTTTGCCCTTCTTATCTTTTTTTTTTTGTACATGGGACACTTTGTGCCCTCCCACCTGTGCTTTACTGCACAAAGTAGGTTGTTGAACTGCTGCAAATGTCTGGTGTGCATAAGAACACCATGCTTCAGCCAGAGAGAAATGGAGCATGAACAATTTAGCTCTCAAGGCAGAAGTGTACAAAAGCATGTTTCCTCTTTTTCACAAATGCTTAATATTTGCATCTATAGGAACTGCATCGTGTAAGTAATATGTGTGTTAGCATGCTTAGGTTAGCGTGCTAACCAAAGTTTGCAAAATAATACAGCACTTCAAGTGCAGTATCCACTTGCCTGCTTAGAACAGGGAACCAAAATATTTCATTTGCCTTCAGTAAGAAAAAACAGACCAGCCCCCAAACAGCAATTAACATATGCATATGTACTTCAACAAAGTAGCTAGTTCAATTAGTGCAATTGAGAAATATGTGATGTATAGTACTGATGTGTAGGTTACATGCTGGCATTCCTTTGGTCAAAGGCAAGAATGAACAGAAATATACTACAGTGATCAGAGCAATATTTAGGATGTCTGGATTCTTGTATCTGCTGCATCCGAGAGTTTGGGGATGGCCAAACCTCTCCAATTTTTTCCACCCGAGACAGGAATGTTTGGAATCCCTAGTTTTCAAGGAGCACCAGAAGGTTTTAGTTGCTTTTGCTTGCAAATGCTCAGAGAACCTCAAACATACAGTAAGCACAAGGGTGTCAGAGGAGAGGAACACTGGAAATCCACAGAGAGCATCCAAGTTTCTGCTGACATGTCTTCCAGGTTCCTGTGGATTGTTTTATGGTTGGTAGCAGGCACTCCAGTTGCTGGCATGCAGGGTAGGTTTCTCTACATAAACACTCGCTGCTATTTACAGAGTATCCCTATGCTTGAGTTTTTCCGGGGTGCAGAATCAGGCAATCTCCATGTAAAAGCAGCTGTTCTAGCAGCATCGTAGATGAGAGCAGTTGAAACAGGCATGAATAACCTGACTCCTCAGATCACGGATACCATTTGGCTAACAAGATATTTTGGCTCTAGAGTTTAAAAATCAAACTGAAGCCCTTCCTGCAGTGCCCAGCCCATCTGTGTCATAGGTTCCTGGAAGGGGAAAGTCTACAGGATTCATGGAGAAGCTGGATGAGTACTTGTAAGACAAATCCACTGAGGATTATTAACCAGAAGCAGCCTCATGACCAGGAAACCTCTTGAGCTAAAATTACTGCAGTCTTGAAGTCTGAAGAAAGTATCATATGTATTTGCTTCATATCTACCCTTCCCATGATGGCTACTCATGGTCACAGCTGCTGCCAAGTTACTTGATTAGCTGAACCACTGATCTGACTCATGATGGCTGCTCTACATTTGTAGCTATAAGAAGGAATTCATGTATCACTGCCCCTACTCTCATCTCTCAAACTCCAGGCTTCATAACCAAGCCCTGTGCCCACTGTATTAACTATGAAGGACCATTCAGGACCCAAAAGGAAAACTGGCTCCACAAAGCAGGCATGACCACAGAAAGAACCAAAAGAGTCTAACACTTCTGAGCCTGTCAAAGACCTGTGAGAAATGCAAGCACAGGCCTGCACATAGTTGTTCCTGTAAGTTAATTCAATTTGCTTAGCGTTAACCATCAGGAAGAAGTTATTTTTGCTCCAAACAAAGCATGGAGGTATTCAAAAGCAACTGCCAGACTTTAATTCACGTTCTTCCTTCATTCTGCTTCCAGTGTTAAAGGCTACAATTTCCTGCCTGAGGAAGCACCTCCAAGAGAGAGGCTGGCAGGAGTGATACCATTTACAACACCCATCAGGAGCACAACTAGAGTACAAAACCAGACCAGCTAAAGATTCACCCCTAAAGTTTTGTAGCTTCATGAAATCACCATACAAGACTCATAATGAAAGACTTAAGCAAGAAAGTACAACCATGTTGCTTTTTGTTTGAACAAGAAGCCAGTGAGACAAAAAGATCTACTGTTGCTCCATGCAGTATGAGCAGGAAATATGAAAACGCACTTTTTTTTGGGTTACCTCCCATTACTCAAATGAGACAAACTAAGAAAAAAGTTCCTGCTAGAACCCAAAGATGGCCATCAGCAGAATACCTGCATAGCCCCAAAGTACATCAGCTTCAGCCTGCCCTTCAAATAAATTCAAACCAGCTCTGACTTTGAGGCTACCTATTGCCCAGGCTTCTAAAGACAACTACAATGTTTTGAATTGAATGAGAATTGTACTACACCTCACCAAGCAAAGGCCCAGAATGAACAGCCCTGAGCATCTTTGGGATTAATCAGATCAGACTGAAAACTTAGAGCATTCTTCCTAAACAGCTTTTTCTTTATTTACGTTCAACTGCAATTAAAGTTTCTTCAGCTGAAGAAATTAATGTGCTGTTGCATTTCACCTCAGTGACTAAGATATCGGTACATCTCTCAAGTAAAACAGAGGAGAGTAAAAACAGTGACATGAAACAATTCTGCTGAAGCACTTCCAGCACTATCACTTGCACGTCTTCCATCAGTAAAATAACTAAAAGAAATATTACTTGACCTCCCCTTTAGTCTGATTCTCTGCTTACTGACAGTACCAATAAAGTGTGTACCCCCCAGACTACTGCTATTGACTTTTGTTTAGAGAATGATAATGGAGAAAGGGAAGGGAAAAAACATCCATTCTCTTTGCTGATCAAAAAATTACCTTTCATCCAATTCCTGTGGATGTAGCACTGTGTACAAAGGACTGCTGCAACTCCTGCATGCTGAGAGCTCACAATTAAATCATAATAAAAACTGCAAAAGTAAGAAAGGCTGAATGATTAGAGCACTGACAACCAACCTAGCACCTGCATAGCTCCTTATAGGCAAGTATGTTTGCAAACATAGCTTGGTGATCTACCAACAAATTACCTGTGGGGAAACCTCAAGTGGTGGTTTTATTATCTAGGTCTTTGATAAGTTTCCTAAAGAAAGCCTATATTGTCCTTGGAAACTTTCAAATGCCAAAACATTTACGCATAAGAAATCTTTTGGCTTTATTTTTCTGTCTTTCTAGTTTCCCTTTGAGTTTGTCAGATGCTGAAAGAGACCTAAAATTTATATAATCTTAGACTAAGATGTACAGGAAAATAAGTTTTAAGTACTCTATCCCCCAAAATGTAACAAATATCACCAAACAATGCCACTGAATTTAAGTTTTTCTTACTCAGTTTTACTGCTGTTAAGATACAGCTGCCCAACATGACCCAGAGTGCTTAATGATTAACTTGGGTTATGCATAACAGTCTTGTTTTGTTGCTGTATCATTAAGAGAGGTGAAAGCTTCAGTGTAATCCAGCTGTAGGAAAATTATTTCTTCCCTTTTCTGCGTTCTACATTACAGAAGATTCCTAGGAGCCCAGGACAGGGTGCAGGAGATGGGCAAAATTTGAATGGCTGTGTGATACACAGAAGTCATCCATGAAGCTTTCAGTCAAAGAGCAATTTGGGTTTCACTTTCTCCAAATGCTAAAAAAACTTGTCATAAAACTGCTGACAGGCTATTTCCAGCATGAAATCATCATGATGAGAGATGCCCCCCACTTCCCAGAGTCCCAAAGGGATATCCACCTGTCATTTGTAGTAATAGACAAATGAAAACACCACTGACTGTCTGTTCATCCTATAGAAAATGAACATAAAGGCTTTGCTAGTCTTTGGGCCTGGTACAAGTGTCCCTATGGATCTTTCAGGTCTTTGGATTGTTTTGTACAATCTATGCAAACAAAGCCAGCTTTCAAATACTTTCCAGTGTGACAGGGCTACTTTTGTTTTATTGCAGATCACTTTCTTTGATGACAGAGACTTTCAGGGCTGCTCCTGTGAAGCCCCACAGTCCAGCCACACCTGCGTGCCCACCTCAACCATTGCAACTCTACCGCAATGGAAAATGGCTGCTGGATGATGCATGCATGTCCCAGCTACATAGGCCACCTGTACTTCTGAGACGATGGGATGGGCTTCAATGACTCCATTAAGTCTTGTATCATTACAGGAGTTCTCCATGCCATCTCCATGTATGCTACTGCCTATATTGGAATCAGAGCACTACACGCCATTTTGACAACTCTGGCACAAGTAACAACTTCCCCAGACACCTCTGTGTTAGAAGGAGGGCAATAGAAAGGACACTTACAAAGTTCACCTAATGGGGTTTAGATTCCCAAAGAGGTAAATAAATCAGTTAGGATTCCCAATCAAATGATGGCTGATTAGTGCTTGCTAGGGAGCAGATGAGGAGTATATCTATTATCTTATATATATAAAACCACTTTGGCTATACATGATCTAAACAAAGAAGTTTAGTACAGAGTTGAGAACTAAGCATCTCCATACCCCAGTCAACGTTTTTCTTTCAAGGTAGGCAAAGATAGTGACTATACTACTGCAGAGGCAACTTGACACATCCCATTGTAGAAACACCACCATGTATTTGAGATGCAAATGAATGCATGTTTGCCTCATGATAGATTTTTCTGAAGAATTCAGCACAGAATAAATCTGTGTTTTTTCTTCTAGACTCATTCCTTGGAAAAGTTTTACTAAGAGGGAAAAGGTTGCCAAGATGTGAAATATTTCAGTACTCTCACATAAGGCTAAGGGTCTGAGATTTGGCCCAGGAATAGCCTTCATGCTGGAATGAATCCTTCCAATATTCATGCAAAATTAAGTTCACCCATGTTGTAACCTTTATGTACAACTCAGTTTGCTTGTCCAGTAGAAGCTTCATAAACCATCACAGCAAGTTTCCAAATACATTCCATCTGCATAAGATAATGCAGCTATTGTTTTCACTGACATGCAGTTCTGGGTTTCACTTAGTTAAGCCAAGTTCTGGATCGAAGTGCTGAAAGCTAGTGCAAGCACTTGTGTCCTTTCAAGCTATAGAGGGAAAGAAGTCAAAGATGATGAGGGTGAGAACAAGATGAACTGAAGGGAAGTTGACTTGGGAGGCTTCTGGGAAGAGACTAAGGAGCTATTTACCACAATTTTCTGGGCGCAGAGACCACTCATCAAGGCCATAAAGTGTTAGTTTCTCTAGGAGGAGGCTGTGGGAAACTATCAAAAGCCTTGGAAAGATCCAGGTAGACAATGTCCGCTACGCACCTCACATCAAAAAAGCAGGCTACTTGGTCATAGAAAGTGACACTAAAGTGGTGTTGGGCTCAGTTGTGGTAGGTTTTTGTTTGGTTGGGGTTTTTTGTTTGCTTTTTTAAAGCAATTAAGGTGTTGGTCTTTGTACAGCAGCAGTAATCTTGTGTCTATACAACTGCACTTGAACACCGGCAGAAACTGTGTTGAGCATTAGCAAGAAGTATTTTTCTACATCAGATCTTAGCTGTGCTACATACAAGAGTCAGAGACAGTCTTCAAACAGTTTATCATCTTAGAGGAAAAGCAGAGAAAAACCTGCCACCTAAGGCTCCCTTTTCTTGCAATGCTTTTAGCTTTTGATTTAAAATCCACCAGTCAGTCCTGACTATAGTGGGCTTCAGAGCCTGTATGCTTGCTTTACTGGTAGGACTAATTCCCCAGAAGTCAGAGGAAATGAGCTGGTAACACCCAAGCTCAGAGAAAACCTGCATCTAAATTTCCAAACTGAATTTTTATTTGCAGTCTCAGATAATTTAAAAATAGCATCTTTGAAGGTAAGTATTATTTCAGACCTTAGAGGAAAAAATGGAAACCATTCATTTATGATAACAAAAATCCAAAAATCCACCTGTCACTGATTCCATGGGACAAATCCTACACTTTAATTTATTATAGGGTGTACCCTGCATCTTGAATGTCCCCCTGAAAGCAATGTCCTTCTCCAAAGTAGTTCTCCTGTGAATAGGCTGGTAAGCTCACAGTCACAGTATCCTCATGGAGGTATTGCATACCAAACCTGCATCTGTGACACTAGATGACTTAAGAAAAAGCAAAGCATTTACAGTATTTACCATGTTTATTAATTAGAATTATCTCTGTCAACTACTATTTGTAGTGTTACAGATATCAAAATAAATCTCTCAATAGCTTGTTCACTTTGTGATAATAGAGTCCTGGGGTCCAGTAGTTCCTGTTGCCACTTAGCATTAAGTCCAGAGTCCTGCACAGGATTGAATGGCTCCTATTTCCAGCTCACGGCCTACACTATGCTCTTTTGTTTAGCCAGGACCTCACACTGTCTGTAGTCATGAACTCATGTTGACCCACAGCAGCACAGAGAAGTAGGAGCTTTCTCTAATGTCTGGGGTTAAAAACCAGAAGAGAGACCCATTATGTTAAAGAGTCTACAATTCATTCAGTGTGCAAGTGGCCCCCGCCCAAATCTCACACATACTTTTAAGGGCACACTGTTGTTGACATAACTTTGCAGGATCTTTAAAACTCTGTTTTCATGTCTCACAACACTAGCCATCATTCAGGTCTCTATACTTTGCCTGTGTCAGGACTAAGCTAGCAGAGTCCCTGTAGGATTCACAAGGACACAGGGAATGGCACACCCTCAGTTTCACATCCCACTCAAAAGCAGGCACTGTGCTGCAACCAACATCTAACTTCTGGGAGGTCACAGTTCTAACATTTTGCAAGAGCCCCAGCAAGGTCGGAACAGTCTAGCAGTGGTCGGAGCTTTCTTAAGCCCAATTCCCTTCAGTTATTTCCCTTCATTTGCATTCTTCCCCACACAAAGAGGAGTTAGGCCCCAAGTTGCTATAGCATCCATTCTCAGGACATGCTTACCATGTCAGCTGAGAGGGAATTAAGTACAGACAGCTCATCAGAGACTACCAACACCTACACATCTTTAAACCTTGCTTGCTGCCATGTTAGTTTTTTTTTCTCTCCTGATACAGATTGCTTTGAGGAGTCATGCTGTAGATCCAAATCTGCTGAGCTCTGCAACATAATGAAAGCATTTGTTAAACAGCTTCTTAACTAAAGCACTATCATTTGAAGTCCAAGTACAGTAACTTCACTGATCACTGGCCATAAAACAGTGACGAGTAAGGGCTTACTTTGAGTGAAAAGTGAGTTTGGTGAAGGAAGGAGAACACTTTCACAACGCAAATTTGTGCACTAACAATTGATATCTTTGAGAATCTGCAAAACAAAGACAGCTATACCATGAGGTTGGAACTAGACGATCTTAAAGTCCTTTCCAAGCCTAACTATTCTATGATTCTATGATTCTATAGCGTGAGTCTACACATGCTAGCTCTAGCATAGATAACCTAAATGACAGCAGAGGAGAGGGGAAGTTCTAAGCCTTAACACCCATCCATGAATCTTTACTGGCTATTACAGCCTGTAAGAACCTAAGCAGACAAAAGCATATTATTTAATTAGGCTGTAAGAATCTTTAATATGTACCTTAAACAAGAACATTCCTAGCACAGCTGCAAACCTAAAGCCTCTGCTAAGGGAGCCTATGTTATAGAAAAGCAGCATAAGAGATCCTGGGCCTTTTACAGCAGGGGATTCATTATCATGAAGGCCCCCCTTGGAAACAAGCTGAAAGGACAAAGAACAACAAAAACACTCACCATGGTCCCAGGCTACCCTGGGCTAAATTCCTTCCTGAATTTGAGTCTGGTTAATGGTTTAACCCTGCATATATGAAACAGAGCAGCCAGGGGCCAAAGGGGCTTAATGCTATTAGAGAGACCATCACCTCCCAGCTTTAGCTCTGGCCAATCTCCAACACTTTGAAAGAAAGCAACTAAAATGCCTAGATATCAGCTTATGTGTCAAGGGGCAAACAAATTCCTTCCCATTTCCAAATTTTGCAAGCAGCTAACAAGCCCTGAGCTGCCCAGGGTACAATGTGAATATGGTGACAGAACAAAGAATAAACACCAATTAAGTGTGCTGCCTTACCTAATAGAATAATTGCACACTCATTTTGTGCAATCACAGTCAGAGAAACTCAAGGCAAGCTGATCCTGTGCTACCCTCTGCAAAACACCATCTCAGAGGCTGTAGCATCTTGCAAGGGCCAACTTCCTCCTTTCTAGTAGCCCACCAAATGCAGTCTCAGGTTAATTAGGTTTGAATGGCTAGAAACTCGTATATACAAAGCCCTACTTCTTTACATACCCAAGAGGTATTTTGATAGTGGGAGTTTTAAACACAGCTGCGAAGGCCACTTGCTTACTTGGAATGTACAGACTACACCTTGCTTCTGTACAAGGGTCTGTTTGTATAGGAAGGTGGAAGAATTGAGAGGCAGGTTCAATTCTAAGCATAATTCAGGTCTTCATTGTTAGTAAACAAAGCATTAGCCCCAAGACATCAAGAAAAACCTCAGATAAAAGCTTTGCCATTGATGTACCCCAGCATGATTTTTGCTGCTCCTGGGCATGATCTCAGTAGAAGCCTTACAGTCAAACAACATGTTTCAGAGTATCTGAAAGTCAGATACAGATTTGTATCTGTTTCATTACCTCCTATGAAAAATAAGTATAACTTAACAAAAGCTTTACTATAAAGTGTGGGTTTTTTCCTGCCACTTCAGAGGTCCCTGATCTCAAAGCTGCAATCCAATGCAGTCCACTCCTCTATTGTCTTTCCTTAACGTCAAACTCATGCTTCCTCCCTATTCACACCCTTCTCTGTAACCTTTCTGTTACCTGAACTTGCTGACTGACAAGTTCATAGCAAGATTAAATTACTAATATGCAGCCACTGAAAAGAGATAAAGTACAAAACCACAAATAATGTACAACATATGAAAAACAACCAGTGCTGTAAACAGACAGCTACCACAAGACAGCAGCTAAGGGACAATGAAATACAAATGAACACTGCCTACCTGGCTATTTAAGATCCATGAAACAACTGATACATAGTTATGGAAGAAAAGATGATGAAAAGTCAGGTAATTAGTTTTCATTGCTAGACCAGTTCATACACAGTCACACTTTAAAGTACCCATACATAGCTAGTAATGCTTTTTTTTACATCCTCCTTCCATTCTTTGACTCCCGCATCCTTAGCTGAATCTTTATCACAGTAAGCATATGGAATTATAATTTCACTCTGAGTTATACTACACCTGTAGGGACAGAGCTGTAGTTCACCTTTCCCCACTAACCTCTCTTTGTTGCTCATATTTACATACAAGAAAGAACTCAATGAATACTGCCTGTTTATCTATACTGACAGGGAAATATTAAACTTGTCCTATACCTGGCAACACAGACATCTAAAAGTCATCATAACAATTCTACAGTGAGCAAGCTGTTTAAAGAAATACCTTTGGAAGATCAGATCAGTGGACTACTCACCCTGGATGCTGCTGGAACAGGCTATACATGTTTTACTCTCCCCCCAGAGCACCTATAAAAGGCAAGAACTATCTACACAAGCAGCAGCAATTGTTTAAGCCCACTAGGATAACTACAATTCATTACAATTCCAGCAGAGTAGGAAATGGCTGGTTTATACTCTGTGAGCATCCCAATTAGGTAGGCAGCAGCACTTAAGAAGGAAGGAGTCTCCCATCTCTATCAGTAGGTGGTTTTTGTTGTTTTAGTGGAGTCTACTGTAGGACTTCTTTATGTGGGAGCACCTCCTAGCGCTGGTAAAAGCTAATAATGCAAGAATACTGAGCTGTATTTCAAGGAAGGATTGGTGGTTTTGCATGGTTTTGATTGGGCCTGACTTTTTCAATGGGAGCAAATTGTAAGAGAAGTTTGAAATAAGACTGTTGTTTAGCATAGGAAAGGCTATAAGAAGGTGTGATAGGTAAAATATAACTCAAAAAGTATGGTACAAAGAGTGTCCTTTTTCCATATTACTATGGAGAGGACAAATAATATTTGAATTTGCTTCAAAGGTGATACAGGCTGGCTGTTAGGGAGAACCTCCTAGCAGTTAACTTGAGCCCTGAGATAAGTCCCTCAAGAACGAGGCAGAATCTTTTCTGTTCCTGGAGGAACAGGGTGCTTTAAGCTTAGCAGGTCCTGCCCTGGGACTGAGCTTGTCTCTGAGCTCCTATTTTTTTCTTAATGGAAAACATCATGTTGCAGCCTTAAGCCAGGAGACCATGGTGGCTAGCAGTAAGTACCACAGCACGTGTCTCACACAACTAAAAATATTACAGACTCCTTTTTGTCAGTGTCTCTCCATTCGTGCTAGGAATTATGTTTAGACACTGCAGTAAAAGATATTTCTCCCACTATCACAATACTGATCTAGATCATACAACACCAAGCACACATTAGCCCTTAAATTTCTCCAGGGAAAGTTCACTCATCTAAAAACAAAGCGATATCGCAGGGACCAATATCAGACTATCTCTGGGCTTTTGGTGACATTTCTCCATCCCTAGCAATTTTTCATACAGCAGGCAGTACAATGACATTGCACAGTCAATGCCTTTGCAAAGGACTTTCAAAACTCACGTGAAATCATTGCAGTGGTGCGGAAATCCCCTGCAAAGGAATCAACAGTGCAATGAATGCTTCATCACCTGATGCGGAGCAGGGCTGTGTTCAGAGGTTGCAGGGCCTCACAGCAACCTGGAGGAGAAGGCCCAGGCCTCCTTAAATCTCCTTCTCCCTTCATTGGAGCCTGACACAGCATTAATTTCCCTCCCCACTTTCCGAGGGAGGCCTGTTCCCTGGCAAGCCGTGCTAGAATGATCCTACTATTGAGTGAGCAGAGCAGGAGGAAAAGTCCCTTGCTGGAGCACTGTGCCTTCGGGAGGGTCAGTGCACTACCCACACGTTTGGGAAGAGCAACACCAGCAAGCTGAAGAATCTTTTCACATTCCTCCTTTAGAAATCTGACTTTATTTTAGGAGTGTTTTCTTAGTTCTACTCAAGCTCTGCATATGAGCTACAGACTTTAAAGCAGTAGCAGGTTGTATGTGCATACATGTCCACACTCTGGCTACGGAGGCAGGCCTCTCTGGACTGTGTGTAAAACACATGTACGTGCTTCCTCAGCTTTACTGCCTACAAAGCAACGCGGACGTTTCCTGAGGTGTTCGGTCTCGCAAGGACTGGGAATGCCGATCCTTTTACAGGCAAGGAGACCCCTCGGGCAGGAGAGGGTCGCGTCACCTTACGGGGACCGCCTGCTCCTCGGGTGAAGTGGCGTGTGCTGAGTATGGCTCTGCCAACACAGCTATCGCAGCTTCCACAGCGGCCCCAGTCCACCCCACAGGCCTCCCCCTGTCCAGCCAGCGGCCCCGGCCTTCGGCGCTCCGCCGGCACTGGCGGTACTGCCCCTGCCCGAAGCCAAGATGGCGCTCGCGGCCTCCCCGCCCCTCGGCAGCGGCCCGGGGCGTGTGCCGGAATGCGGGCGGGGCGGGCGATGTGGCGACGTCCGGCCCCCTCCGCCGTCCGGCTGCCGCGCGGCATTGCCCGGCCGCCGCCCGCAGTGGCCCGGGAAGGCTGCGGGGAGAGAGGCCGCGGTAGCGCGGTGGGAGCTGCGGGAGGCTGAGGGCGCGGTAGGTGGCGGCACGGGGCAGCTGCTTTCGCTCGGGAGCGGGCGGCGGGGCAGCACGGGGCCCTGCGGGGAGCGGAGAGGCCGCGGGCAGCGTCTCTTCCTAGGCATCCCTCGGGCTGCGGGAGACCACTCTGCCTGGGCCCGCCGGGCTCCGAGGCCGCTGCGGAGTCCGGGCCTGGGGCGAGCAGGGCAGCGGTTGTCACTGACGGGCTGGGGCTCAGGCGTGCAGGCGGCTTCCGTCCCCTCCGGGTATTACCATAGCCACCTCAGAGCTCCGCCGGGACAGCTGCCCTGCTGCTTCCCTGCAGGAAAGGAGAAAGCGTCACGGAGATCAGAAACCAGAGTTCTCCGTCGTAGGGGTGGTAATGTCAGACACGAAAACGATGCGAACTGCCGCCGCGTAATTCCCGAGGTCGTCTGTGGGCTTTAAGTGCGGATTTGTTATTTCCTTCCTCCGCCAAAGGCCTGAAGGGTATGTTTTCACTTTCAGAGATTAAAACCGAAGAGGCGCTGGCGAAGAACGGACATGCTTGACCCTTGCCTGCAGTTGCCTGTGTTGTGCTACGTTTTTTACCCGATAAGGAGAGACTGAGACGCTGTTATTTTCATCTTTGACTCTTCGGGTTATGATATAACTGTAATAATAAAGTAAAGTCTACGGAAAAAGCACCTGGGAACCGAGCATGGTAGGATCTTGAACAAAAGTAGCTGCTATCGCGAAAAGAGCAAGGGAAGGAATGGCATCCCGAGAGAGGCTGTATGAGCTTTGGATGCTTTATTGCAATAAGGTAAATATTTGGGGGAGGGTTGTTTGTCTATTTCTTCTTCTGTTTGGAAGTCAGGTATTTAAAATGTGTCTGTAACATTTTTTAGCCTGTTATTATTTTTTTTTTTTTCCTCACAAATTGCATAGACTTGTCTGGTTTCTGTAAGGATATAACTGCAGACTATATCCAGCTAATATTCTTAGACTGCATCTAACCTTATCTCTTATTTGCCCTTAAGGTTGGGCTTTTTTGTGTGTGCGGTGTGAATTGCACAGTGTTTGCGGCTCAGTTTAAGCAGTTATTCTAGGTATATCTTTTAACTATGTGAATGCATATGTTCACATAATTCTTTGTACGGCCGTGGCATTAAAATGTATTCATTCAGTGCTGTCTGGTACTTAGCTTTATACTTTTTGTGTGAAGCTCCAGTTTCTTTTAAACTATATTAGTGAAAGCCATCCCAAAGAGCAGATTTATCAAGTTACTTGCAAGTCTTCCTTTGCTGGTTATCATCAGAACATTTAAGTATTCCATTAATAATAATGAATTTCCTTCATCTGGCAAGACTGTTATTAAAATACTGTCCTGTTTCCATTTGCATTTTATAGTGTAAAGCAATTGATATGTTTAAAGAACAGAGCCTAATTGCTTCTGGGTTGCCGAGTATGTACACAAATTGGATTGCAGATGATCTGAATAGATATCTGTAAAATAAAAACAAAAAAAAAAATGACTAAAGGCAGGGGAAAGGACTGGCCTACTGTCATATAGACACTCAGTGGCAAGGCTAGCTTTTGGTGGCCTTAATCATTGGGTTTGTTTTGCTTTTTCTCTTCGCAGTCTCATGCTTCATAGGTATCTCAGTTCCTTTAACTTTTCAAACCAGTAGGACACCAAGGGTAAAACAGACATTCTCTTGTTCTTCTTCCCAGTTCATTTCTACAGAAGGCCTATCTTGAGAGCATAAAATGTTAGAATTTAAGTACATGCAGTCTGAACAAGTGCATAAAGCAGTGGATGGAGATTGCACAAAGCAGTTTTAATTGTAGCTTTTCTTAATTTTTGTGTGTGAGTTTGCAACCCTAATGCTCTAGATGTTAAAAATAAAACTAGTGCAAACATAATAGCATGGTATGACTTCTTGCTGCTACCAGCGTGGGTGATCTGTTGGGTTGAAACATATTTGCATAGGCGTTTGCCTTTTAAACTAATGTAGTACTGCCAATGGTAGTAGGAAATAGCCTAGCACTGGAGGACATGGATGTTTTGCCAGTGAGTTCATCGATGTGAGAAGAGCAAAGACACTTGGAACAGACTCCCAAGAATCCAGGCTTTCCTCTGCTTTGGGAGACAGGGCTGCAGAAATGAGCCAAATGAGCCAAGCTCTGAATTTCTTTACCCAGCCGGTCTATGTCTCTTTCCTCCCTAGTTCTTTATAAAATTTTTGTTTGTCTTACACCTTCTCATCCTTTGCCGGAACCTTTCATTCAGATTGTATGCTTTCCATCTTCATATTGTCCTCTTACTAGCAGGAAGCTTGCATAAATAAAGGAGTACTAGTTAAAGTGTGTGCTTTGTGTGCTTTGTGTGCTTTAGATCACTTAGAGGACGTTCAGTTTCTCTATGGGAATGCTGTGTACTGACTCAGTCAGCTCTTGGGTAATGGAGAATGGCATATTAAAAGTATCTTTTTATATACTTATCCTATATGAGCTGTTGGTGATGTTTTTTTAGCCTTTTTTTCCCAGAGCCGTATGTTAAAGGCACAGTTAATGGGTTCATATGTTGATAAGGACTAGGTTTTAAGTAGCAAAGTGTGTATGTATATATATATAAATATATATATATATATAAACCCTAACTGTCAAAATTTGAAGGCAACTAGAGTAACTCTGAAAGAGGAATCTTCACTTCTTCAAAACATGCTGGACACAAAACTGGTTTTTCTTTCTCTCTCTCAACTGGTTTACCTCATTCTGCTTGGGGCAGGCATCCAGCATAAGTGTTTTATCTTGGATTAAGTTTGCTGAAGTTAGGAGCAACTGAAGAAGCTAGGTCTGAGGATGTAAAATGTTGTAAAGCCTTAATGTAAATTAGATTGTTCAGTTATATATTGAAAACATCTGTGTGCTATACTTTGTTCTCCGTGGAGCATCTAGCGTAAGATGACAGGATATAGTGGTTTAAGAAGTTCCTTATACCTGGGACTGCCCAGTGAAGCATATCCTGTATGTTGCACTGTCGTGGCTTTGTGGCTGACATCCTGGGAAGGAAGAAAGCTAGGCAGTTCCTCCCAACTACAATAACTGCTGGAGAGTCACAGTTGAGTAAGGTGGGAATTTGTTGTGCCACAAATACCAAGTATGTGGTTTTAGCTTTTGCAGCCTTGCTAGCTAAAGAAACTGTGAAATCCAACCTCCTTTTTTTTTGTGATGCTTCACGTTGTTGCTAAAAAAATAGACTTGTTTGCTTTGCCTTTTTTAGATAGGTGGGTCCTTCATGGTAGTATGTTAAATATAGCACTCTGTGCTACAGCAGCAGGGTTTTTCATGACTTCAGAGTGATGGGTAATTCTGTGTTACTATCTAACTTTCTATCCGAGGTCACGACTCTTGTTCTTTGTGATCACCTAACATCTCTGGCAGCATCAGGTGTCAGCCACACCTATTAATTTTGTGCAAAGTAACATTAGGAGGGCATTTCTCTGTTTTCGTTGCCTCTTCTGCAGTTCAGCTCGTTTGGGCAGACAGCAGCATGTAGCTGGGATCTCTGCAGAAGCGGTCTTTGGATGACACTGTGTATGAGGTGGTTTCTTTTTCTTTTTTTTTTTTTTTTAAGATCATGTTTGTGTGGCTGAAAAAGTTCATTTTTAGTTGGTATTCACTTGTGTTTCTTCTGGCGGTTTCTCATCTAAGGTTGAGGTTTGGTTTTGGATTTATATTTTTTAGCTTTTGTTCCCCTAAAAGCTATCCTGTAGGGCAGTTGCTGCAAAGTGGCATATTACAATCTGCTGTTTAAGGTGTTTAATCATGCTACACATGATTTATGCATGGAAGCAGTTTAAAAATTCATTAAACTTAGTGAAATTGTGATACAACTGGGGTTGTATCACAGCACTGTATTGTTGATAGTCTGAGCTGTTAATGCTTTAGTTTTGTTTGGTTTGTTTGTTTTTTCTTTTAAATGGTGATGTCGAATTTTTTGCAAAGAAAG